TGTGTATACTTCAACGTTCATTTTTTATCAAGACAGCCACTTGTGAACTGTTCGTATCCCGGCTGCGGCGGCTGCATTTCCGATGGAGGCGGAAATGTTGTAGGCCCGTGTGCTAAGATTTGGGTGCACGTTAAAGAACCCCAGGTGGTCTAAATTTTCGGAGCCCTCCACTACGGCGTCTCTCATAATCATATAGTGGTTTTGGGACGTTAAACCCCACATATCAATCAATCAATCACTTGTGAACTGTAAGAGCGGATAGCCAACGCTGCAACAACGACTGCCGTCACACTACTACTACTATACTTGACGTGTTATCATAATATCCATTTTAGCAACGCGTGACATCTGCCGAAATTTTGAGTGTGTATGTCAGCGGTTACTTTGTATATTGATACTGTTAATTATCTGTAGCGCCTAACCGCACAAACTGCAGTAAGCGGGCATGTGCTACGCGTGACTGAGGGAAAGGGTTTCATGACGTACACGACAAGCATGTTGCGTTATTTGTGTGCCGACCAGTGAATCGTGGTCGCCTTAAGTACACTGATCCCCTGTTAGGCCAATAATGGTGTAATACAAGCCCTGGAGACGACCAGGAGTGCGTCCAGACATATAGCGGCTAGACATATACGTAAACAAAAGCAGCCAAAGTGCCTGAGGTTCACTAGAAAGCGCTTCACATTTGAAATGAAGTGAAGTTGTGGAGACCGTGCGCAGCAAGCGCTACCTGAAGGAAGATACACGCCTGTAGTCAAACCATCGCGCTGCCATACTCCATTGTTCGTTTAATTGACAAATGAACGAATGAATTTATTTATCCTGTTTACAACAGAACAGAAGCATAAGCTAAAGGTCATGTGACTGAAAAAGGTGTCTGCTCCCACAACTAATCAGCATAGAGACCATTCGTTGTACACAAATCGTATAGAGCCTACGGCATACATGCGAGAGTCAACTGATATGTCACAGAAAAAAAGAGCATGTCTACAGGAAATGTAAAGATGTGACAGAATACAATACAGGAACATTTTGCGCTGAACCAAGGCTGGAAACTTAAATTGAAAGGAAAGAAATGACAATATATGCACTTTATTTTAGTCTGATATACTCAATGGTGCGTGTAAAGTTTTGTCGATACCTTCGAACCTTTCATAACCTATTGCCGAAGTCACGTAATGATTTGTGGGGTTTAACGTCCCAAAACCACCATATGATTATGAGAGACGCCGTAGTGGAGGGCTCCGGAAATTTTGACCACCTGGGGTTCTTTAACGTGCACCCAAATCTGAGTACACGGGCCTACAACATTTCCGCCTCCATCGGAAATGCAGCCGCCGCAGCCGGGATTTGAACCCGCGACCTGCGGGTCAGCAGCCGAGTACCTTAGCCACTAGACCACCGCGGCGGGGCTGCCGAAGTCACGTAATCAATTTGTTACTGGTGGTGTCATGTAAGTGACTGAGTGTTTTCTGTAATTGGTTTTTATTTTTGGTACGCTTTCATAATGTTGCCGAAGGCTGTAGTGCAGATTGGTTGTGCGGATTACTTCTACTTTGCCGTCACTTCGGTCCGCAGTACAATTTTTAATGTGGGAAGCTATTGAGCTTTATTCAGGCAGTCATTGGCTAGGTTGAAGGAAGCTAACGCTAGATACAAACTGTCTGACAAAGCCCCCCCCCCCCTCCCTGTACCCATATACGTTACCCATAGATTGCCCTACCCATACATTGCTCAAGCTTGAACTTCGAATAAGACGTTTTTCAGCGCGAGAAGAACTTGAAGACGGAACAGAGAAAACAATACAGCAAGAACACTGTAGTTCAACTGAACTGACCCTTCGAAAAGTGCTAGGGCCTGCCGCGATGGACTATCTGTTACTGTGATCTTCACTTCGGACCCGCCATGATGGTCTAGTGGCTAAGGCTGCTGACCCACAGGTGACAGGATAGAATGCTGGCCGCGGCGGTCGATTACTAGATGGAGGCGAAAATGCTGTAGGCCCGTGTGCTTATATTTAGGTGCACGTTAAAGAACTCCAGGTGGTCAAGATTTCCGGAGCCCTCAACTACGGCGTCTCTCATAACCATATATGTAGGTTTTGTGACGTTAAACCCCAATAACGATTATTTTTTATATGATCATTATTTCCCTTTATGATCATTCACTTCCCTTAAATGATCATTCATTTCCCTTTAGTTTCTTGAAGTCCCTTTTTATGGGTACTACATATGGGGTGGTGTTTATTAAAACGGTACATGTGTGTTTTTACTAGCTTCACAAAACATGATTTAATAATTATTTTAATAAATGTTAGAATAATTGAAGGTGTTCGACGTCCCAAAGCCACCGTATGATTATGAGAGACGCCGTAGTGGAGGGCTCCAAAAATTTCGACCCCCTGGGGTTCTTAAACGTGCACCCAAATCTGAGCACACGGGCCTACAGCATTTTCGCCTCCATCAAAAATGCAACTGCAACAGCCTAGATTCGATCCCACGACCTGCGCTTCAGCAGACGAGTACATTAGCCACTACACCACCGCGGTGGGGCTAATGCTGATAAAAATGCCATGGGGAAGGCCGTTCCAGTATTTTGCTGCTCGTATAAAAATTGAGGCTAGAAATGTAGTAGTACGGGTAAGGGGTTGTGTGACTTGAAGCGGATAATCAGCGCGATGAGATATGTGTGAAGAAGGCGTGATGTATGTTGGATAGTTCAGCGAACCGGAATAAAACATGAAAAAGAGAGGGGGCGGCAACCTGTCGGTGGAAGCAAGTGTTTGCAAACCTTATCCACTTTCAAAACGGAGATGCCCAAGCGACGTGAATACGCAGAATAAATGAACTAGGTAGCCTTTATAGAAGTGATTTGAGTTCATTGATGATATATGTATGGTGGTGGCTCCAGATAAAATATGCACTTTCAAGCTTTGATCTGATAATTGATTAATAAGCAAGCTTTCTGACATCCGGTGGCGTATGACATAAGTGTCTTCTAGGAAAACCGAGTAATTTATTAGTCACCGAAATAATGTTCGTGTTACGATGACGCAAAGGCAGGTCATGAGACAAGGTGAAGCCGATGTATTTGAATGTCTGAACTGGTTCTACTGAAACATTAACAATTGAATAGTTAAACATTACCTGAGTGGTTACAGTGGCGAGAAAAGGAAACAAGCTTACATTTATTAGACTTTAGGTTCATTAGCTAACGATTACACCATGTCTGTATGTGATTAAGGTCATGCTAAATTAATGTTTGGTCATGAGTGTTTGTTACTGAATTGTAATTTACACGTTGATCTCCAAACATGTGGAAGTTACATTACACGTGCGTTAGTAGATCGTTAATAGAAATCAAAAGAAGGGGTTCTAGGACATACCCCTGCGGGACACGTGAAACAGGTAGTTACATAAAATTGTGGTTGCGAATAAAGCAAATTGGAAGCAATTAGTCCGGATAGATGTTATCTATGCAAGTACCGTGTACTGGCCCAAAGGTCGTGGGATCGAATGCCGGCGCCGCCAGGCGCTTTGCGATGGATGTGAAGTGTTAGAATACCGTCTACTTAGATTTAGGTCCAGGTTATGGAATAGCAGGTGGGCTGAATATCTGGAGCCCTCCATTATACGGCGTCCCTTATTACCATATTGTGTTTTTGAGACGTTAAACTCCGACAATGACTTCCAAAAGAGCAAGGCAAAAAATGTTCAAAGAGCACGCGCACAAAAGAGTGCCCTAATAAACATATAACAAATTATTAGATATGTGCAACACTGAGGCGGCTTTCAAAAAATTATTTTTTTTTCTTTTCTGTCTAAAGTCATTGAAACAGTACTCGTACATTTAAGGAATGCATTACATACGCAGAAAGGTTTTGTGACTTATGCTAAGGTCTTATGTCTTCTGCTTTTTTGAGATTGCATGCACTGTCCAACACAAGAGAATTCGTGCGACGTCTGCTATGGTCAGCCAGATGACTTGATCCAATAAGATCCTATAGCTTCGTACAATGATTGGACTGTGATTCCCCAACTTTACGCTCGGACACGAAAGAGGTATTCGACAAATTTTTGTAAACAATGCCCATTATTTCGCCGAAGTGCAGCTATCAGCTCCAGCACCTCAGTAATCCACAATAGATAAAGAGTTTACGGAAAAGCAAGTAGAACTTTATAATAACTTTGTACGGAGAATGACGCATTCTCATTTGTAAGATGACCCGACATTAAACGCTGTAATGCATTTATTGAGACATCGGGAACGACACGTTGTTGAAAGTATAAAGTATCAGGCAGGAGGCGTTCGAATTTAGAAACAAGATTAGGCCACTCAGATAGACACCTATTTCGGTCAACAACATGTTGCCCTCTTCCAGACAAAAACAAGCCTACCCTTGCAAGATTTTGTCTGGCACTCTCTCGAAGAATGAGTCGCAATCAAGGGTTACGGGAAAGTAGTAGCTGATTACGGTGTCTGCACACGTGCGTCTGCGACAAAGCCCGTCGTTATCAGACACCCCCCTTCTTTCCGCACTTCGTGTACATTTAGTGCTTCCAGACGATGTCTCACGGTTTCGTCCATGCGGTAGACGTCTTCAACATCCCGTCTAAAACCTTCTTGCCTTACCCGCCGATGACCGGATTCCTCCATACGCAGACACATTTGCTCACATTCCGTGTTTATTATGCGAATGAGTTCCAAACGAAATTATGTCTATTTTCTTTGTGTGTGTAAGTTTATCTCGTACACAGCTTTCTGCGGTTTCTTTCTCGTCTCCTTGCCAATGTTATATTGCCATGAAGGCTCGGCCACGGAGTGTGTCAACAAGTGCTCGTTTTATCGCAGCGAATAAATGGTGGTTCCATTACGTGGTGGTGTCCGTCATATGGCTTAAATCACGGACCAACTGTGTCTCTTCCCTTTTTTTTTTCGTTGTCACGCGTTAGAAAGGAATGCTTGCGCAATGACGTCTGCGCACTTTTTGCGTAGGAAGGACCACTCGAGACGCCATAGCTGAGAAGGAAGCATGGCGAGTGGTGGATTCATGGTGGTGGACTACGTGGTGCTGGCCACCCTCCTGGCCCTGTCGGTGTCCATCGGCGTCTGGGTGGCGTGGCTGGACCGACGCCGCCAGAGCAGCCGCCACTTCCTCACCGCCCGCGGACAGCTGGGATGGCTGCCCGTGTCGCTGTCCATGATGGCCAGCTTCTTCTCGTCCGTCAACGTGCTAGGCCTACCTGCCCAGGTGAGAGCGATGGTTTACCGAGACAAGCGTTTTGCGGTTATCGTTAGACAAACTTGATGATCGCGCCTTGTCGCAACAAAGGGGGCTGGTTCACTGGCCGAGTCCGGCCTCAGAACATAAGGCTTTGGAAGCGTCATTGCCTTTCTTGCGGACAAGTGGTCATAGAGACAGACTTTAAGCATCATCACATTCTTTTTTTTTCCTTTTTTTATTTTTTTACTTTCTATTTTTGTGACACCCCTTTTCTATCGTTTTTTATCACTTTTACTCCCTTCCCCAACACAGGGTGAGAATGGCTAACCCCTTTCACTGTAGCGGATCAACTAATGCATCTGCGAGGCTCTGTAAGTGGATAACTGACGCGACGGGTTCTCAAGTCGACCATTGACCGTAAGATAGCGATGGGCGTGGTAGCGTACGTATACGTTTGTTATTGTACCGTGCGGCTGGGCGCCAATTCGTGGTTTCTATATCCGGACGGCGACAACCACATTCTGAAGGGGGAGGCTTGCATAAAGCGTTACGTGAGAAAAATTTCACATAAAATGTGCGTAACAGTGTGGTTCACTCTTAGAGAGAACACGCAAGTGCGTGGCGGGGGGTCTGCATGCGGAGCGCCAACTGCTGACGAGATTTGTAAGTCGGGCGCATGCAAGTAGATTCATAAGGGCCGCGCGGGAACCGCGTTCATCGCTTTGTCTCAGCGCTCCGCGTACGCTGGTCCTGCACGTTTTTTTTTTTTTGCGATATGAAGCTTGCGCTACCAACTCTGTCTTCCACTTATTCATTGGGCATATATTTTATGCCCAGAAGTGCAGTGTTAGTATGCTTGCTGCGTCGGGCTTCAATAACATTGCCAAGGTGGCCATTTGCTGTCAGTAACATGGGAAAAATATCACTGGCTTATCGGAGAACATTAGGACTCAGTTGCAGAAGCTCCTAGTCTTGTTTTCCTTGCGTACGTTATTTTTTTTTCATTTAGCAGAGAGCAGCCCATGGAAATGTGCCAACACAAAAACTTTTCGACATTAAGATGTCTTGCGACTAAATTTCATGCTGTACATATTCGCTGCTACAAAAATATAATAAATGAGCATTCCCCTCCAAGTTTACCTCCATATTTTGTTCTATGCAGGCCTTTTATGCCACAGCGCGTATTTTTTGTTGTAACACGATCAGTTTTATAAAACGCTAAGTCCACTTGATATCGCAAATGAACGATCTCGGGAGCTTCTGCAGACGTTGCGTCGGCGAGCAAGAACCTAATCGAGATAAAGCTGGTGAAATACTGCAGCAATAAAGAAAGCCATATTTTTTTTATTAAAGCGAAGGCCTCTTAGATGCCTCCTAAAATATGAAAATTGACCATCGGTGGCGTCCCGCGACGTCGGCACCTAGACGAGTGATGCAAACAAAAATGTCTTCAGGTAATGGTGTCGTCACAGATAACCGAAATTTGTGACGTCACTCTGACGCAATTTACCATGACGTGACTTAATGACGCCACTTGGCCGTTGTCGCTTTTGGTCACTGGTCACTTGGTCGCGTGACCAAGTCACTGATGACGTCGATGACGTCATAAAACCACTAGGTGACGTCACATTATTCCATTGTCGCTTCGTCAAAGATGAGCCTAGTGTAACATTGCGCTCCTTAAAAAAAATGTTATTTCAGTTTTCAAGTTTCTACGCTTAGGTCATGGTTTGTCGACTAAAAGCGCTGCGGTAAAGGACATCTCCCTCTCCCGGCGTATTTCGCATTATCAGGATAACATTGGGGTCGTCATTTTGGATTTCGCTTTGCATTTTCTCGAAGATTATTTTTTACAATAATAATAAATATATTAAGTTAAACTTGTGTAATACTGAAATGGCCATTTCCTTGGTCCGCGCCTTGTTTTAGACGCTTGAGCCACAGCTTGTTTCAATTTTCGTTCACCTTTCCTCTACTGAGAAAGTGCCCGGCTACTCCGAGCTTAATATTGACAAGTATATAAATACATTTTTTATTTCAGTATTATTACTACCGTTACTCTTAGATGCGTATAAAAAAAGGGATTGCAGAAAACAAAAGCAGACCCCTAGGAAAAAAACAAACTTGTGTCTCGTGATCTGTAATTTTGTTGTTTTTTGTGTTTTGTCTGCGATCGTTTCGTTTAAGGACAATACACAAACTATCCCCTATACGTGTGTTTATACTTTAGTACCATTACCTTCAGTGTTATGGAAAAGTGAACGGCGGCTCGTTTGCTCCACCGCGCGAGTGGAAAACGGCAAACCCTGACAAGAGCAAAGCCGAAGCGATAGAATAAACTCGAACACAAAGTAGCACATTGGGAACTATTGATTGATTGACTGGTCAATTGATTGATTGACGGGTCGATTGATTGATTGATTGATTGATTGATTGATTGATTGATTGATTGATTGATTGATTGATTGATTGATTGTCTACATAAACATGTATGGAGTCGGTGGCTCGTAGCTCTTATTAGTTGTTAGTGAGCTAAGGCAATCTAATATTAGTCGAATTCATCGCCATATTACAACTGCCAACGAGTATCGGTGAAGCTGCAAGCTAGTGGCCAACAGAACACCCCTGTCACGCAAACCACTCAATCAAGTGACTCAGCAACAGAGCACTGGGACAGCCAGTGCGCAACCAGCGGACCCTGGTTGCCTCCACACTACATCGGTTCGCTTTATCACCTTAGGCCTTTTTTTTTCCTCACCCACCTTATCCCCCGCGTTATGCAGGTGTTCATGCAAGGCTCGTTACTCTGGACGGGTGTGTTTGCCACGTCGGCAGGCGTGCTACTGTCGGCGTACGTTTTCCTGCCGGTCTACCACAGCCTCAACGTCACAAGCATCAACGAGGTATATATGCTGCGCAATACGCATATACCCACACTTAAACGCGTCTTGTCGCTGTCTAAACCTGTATGTTTCGGAACCTACGGGCTCCTAAGCTAAGGGAAAGAACTCGAGCTAAGATCTCGTACCATTACCTTTTCTCAGCCTTGGGCAGCGTAAGAAATTGTTCACTAGTACAAAGTCCACCTCGTGCCCCGCCGCGGTGGTCTAGTGGCTAAGGCACTCGGCTGCTGACCCGCAGGGCGCGGGTTCGAATCCCGGCTGCGGCGGCTGCATTTCCGATGGAGGCGGAAATGTTGTAGGCCCGTGTGCTCAGATTTGGGTGCACGTTAAAGAACCCCAGGTGGTCTAAATTTCCGGAGCCCTCCACTACGGCGTCTCTCATAATCATATAGTGGTTTTGGGACGTTAAACCCTACATATCAATCTATCAAAAGTCCACCTCGTCGCCTTTCCTATTCATCTGTTCCTCTGTCTCTCTCTTGTTCAATGAGAAACAAGTACGGGTGTTAATAAAACGTCACTCAAGCCTTGATTTGCTCAGTATCCGCCACGATACAAAGCTGATGAAGCTTTAAGTAGACCGTATAGTTATGTAGAGATGACGCGGGTGTAGTGAGCCAGGAGTTTCAAGCTGTGCCTGACGCTGCTAACAAACTTCTAATGATCTCACAAAATATCCCGCGTGTTCGATATGACGTGGCCCTGGGTTTGATTTTTGGCCACGAATACCGCTTTTTGGTTGCGGTGAATTACAAAGAACGACCACGTAGTTAGCTTTCAGTGCACGTTAAATGGATCGTGAATTGTATCCGAAAAAAAATTGAACAGCGTCAGTGTTCGGAATTCCGGCCCTCCATTCATTAGCACACCCCAACTTCTTTCATAGTCTGGGTTCACTTAATAAAGAGAAAAAACACCGTTTTGCTTTCCCTGCATTTGTTATACTGCAACTCACGTCGTACTCTTTTTGTGATTTTAACAGCCACCTTGTGCTTTTTAAAATTGATTTTAACCTACTTTCAGGTTATTTACAATTTTGTTATTTTTTGTCGTGAAAGTAGAGAAACTCCACTCGTGAAAGCAAATAAAAACAAAAGGTAAGCAGTTTTGCGGAAGAAAACGTATTTTGCGATTCACATCTTCCCAAACTGCGTAACCTGAAGTGATCCAAATTAAACCGGAGCACTCCACTACGGCATTTCTCATATCACGTAAAACCTCACAGGATTACTGATTTGCTCCACTAATAATTGGAAGCACTGCTGTTCCTCCTATATATGAAATACCTCCCCAGGTAGTTGTTTTTTTTTTCTTTCAAACTGCTTATTGTCACATACTTATCCTTGCCGTTGATTTTCATCACAAGTCAGGAATGATGTAGTCAGAAAAACTTCACGATTGACTATGTGGTCAAACATGATAAACTTTCCTTGCGCAAACTACTAAAATAACGTTACACGGCGGAAAAACAAATTGACGCACACATGTATATGTACATTTATTAGCTGTGTACAGGTCTGCCTGTAGTCTGTGCAAGGAATGTCGATCAAGCATAATATTTTATTCAGCATAAAACCCTATAGACGAGTCGTACTTCAGAGTACAGGTGAATCGGGGAATGATATGTGCAATCGCTTTTGCTTCATTTCAGATTTATTGGTGAACTATCACTTGTACATATAGTGCGAAAAACAAGTGTTTTGCATTTTTTTTCTTTCAGTATCTCGAAAAACGCTTCAACTCCACCCTTCTCAGGAACGTAGCATCAGGTCTCTTCATACTGCAAACGGTGCGTGGCAGAACAGTGTTTCTTCATCTTTAATTTACCCACACTGCCGACAATGAGACTGCCTGAAGGCTACCCAAAATCACTTTTTGGGAGTGCGAGGGGAACCCACCTCCAACTGCAATACTCCCAGTTTTTTTTTTTTTTTTGCCTACTGTCATCAACTGACCACCGCATTCAAGCAGAGCTTGGCTGGTCAGGTCGCGGCAAGCTATTGGCCACCACTCTTAAACCCGCCGGCACGCTAAGTTCAAACACCTCGTTGTGCCGTCAATCAGGCTCGTTTCTTTTTAATCGAGTTAGTCATTTCTCATGACCTTCTAGACGCAAAGGAAAATCTTCTAGACAGACGTAAGCACTTAGGGGTGGGTGCGGAACTAGGCAGTATTGAAGGGTGCATGGGGTGGGGCACTAGGCATTAGTGAGCTATATAGGGCACCTCTTGGTGAGTTACATTGCGTCTGCACTGCCATCTGATTGTAAGGGCCCCAGACGGAGTCGTCGAGGAGAAGGGAGGCTGCAAACCAGTGAATCTTCGCGCCTTGGCCCAGCCAGGGGCAAATGTTTCGGGGCGCTGAGCTTGAGTATTTATATAGAAGTACACGCGCAAACACAAGACAGAACGGCGTGACACAGGCAAGACACTTTTTTATCTTTCAAGTTTTATTGACGCTAGGTAAAATGCTGCGGACATGGAGGGAAGACATGGCTACGTACACTGCCCTGCTCAGGTCCACAAAAATTGTCGCTTACATTTGAACGCAAGTAAACGCGTGAACACACCTGTACGTGCAGACACAAACTCATCACTTCCTGGTCTTCAGCTATAAGGCATGCCTCAGAACAATAATTTAAGACTTCGGGGTTTATTTATGATATTTTATTTATGTTCAGGTTATGTACACAGGCGTGGCGCTGTACGGGCCATCTTTGGCAGTTTCTTCAGGTAAGGCCTTATAGCATGTGTTTTTGTATCCACTGTGGTGGAAGTTGCATAAAAGAGCACGGCGGAGTTATCAGCGTTTTCACAGATAGTAGTCTATTCTTAGCACAAGTACTTGCTGACGTTGAATGAACACTGTTGTGGTCCAGCGAACCATTTGAAAACGGCCCATAATGGGCAAAGCTTTTTTTTTTGGGGGGGTGGGGGCACGAAAGTGTTTTACACCAGGGTGCACCAAGACTTCCGTGACGCATTTCCGTCACGGATATGGCGTTGATAAAGTGGACGCTACCAAATTGGAAAGAAAAGAAACTTTTGAAAACAGATCTCCAACCAGGAATCTAACTTCTGACTCTACCGACGCCATCGATCAATGAGACATCTAAGGCTTTCGCCTTAAAACATTTGGCCATATGGGAAGCTGATCGAAAAAGCACAGAATGGCAGTCAGTCAGTTAAAAGAAAATTCCGTATTTCTACAGCAAAAAACAAAAACAAAACAAAAGAAATGCTGATTTCAAATGTGAAAGAAAAAAATGAATTGGCCACAACTTCTCAGGTTGCCAAGCATAGGAAAGGCCCAACAGATTTGCAATTGACATGAACGATCCGATCTATGCTTTCAATTTGTAAGCAAACTCAACTTGGCAGATATGTCTATTTCTGTGTATACCTGTATATTGCGTCCCTGTATATGTTATCGCAACCTGTCCCACAGGTTGCGATAACATATACAGGGGCGCCTTTTCTGTGTTGCAACTGCCGCCATCTGCAAGCCCTTTATGTGCAATTACTCCGAATTCGTTTTAAAAAAATCTTCGTGGGCTTTATTGTGCTTATTCATACCTCGTAGAGGCATTTATCTTTAGACATTGTGGAAGGTGAATCAGCATAAATGACGGCATTTAAAAATCAGTCTCGAGACTTTGTTGTAATTAGGTAATTGCCGGATGTTATTTAGGTGATAAAACACTGACTTGGGTTAGAATCATTGGGTCCCTCACCGTAACTTATGGTCCTCACGTCACCTGTTTGCCATTCCCTTTTCCTGCGCAGATTCCTGGGCGATCGTAGTGACGACAGACAGAAAGCGTGCGTTTCGTGCGATAACTCATGTTATACTTCGCAAATTCAGTATTTTTTTTGTTTTGTTTTCGACAGAAAACTCACAAAGGAGATGTCATATCATTACCCCGAGTTTTTTTTTTTTCATTTACCCTTTCATAAAAGGCACTTTGCTTGAATTGTGATGCCCATGAATTCCTCTTGTTTTATAACATAGCCGCTAGGATAGCTTTCTAGTAGATTCTAACATTGCCTCGAATAAATAGGTGCCCCCGCAAACTTAGAACGACTGCACAAGCACTGTGCGCACGCACACGAAATATTTCACTTGCGCAAGCAGAACAACTAGGATAGCAATATTAAGGTATAGCAGCGTTGAACTCTTACGTCTCGTCTGTCTGTCTGTCTGTCTGTCTGTCTGTCTGTCTGTCTGTCTGTCTGTCTATCTATCTATCTATCTATCTATCTATCTGTCTGTCTGTCTGTCTGTCTATCTATCTGTCTGTCTGTCTGTCTGTCTGTCTGTCTATCTATCTATCTGTCTGTCTGTCTGTCTGTCTGTCTATCTATCTATCTGTCTGTCTGTCTGTCTGTCTGTCTATCTATCTATCTATCTATCTATCTATCTATCTATCTATCTATCTATCTATCTATCTATCTATCTATCTATCTATCTATCTATCTATCTATCTATCTATCTATCTATCTATCTATCTATCTATCTATCTATCTATCTATCTGTCTGTCTGTCTGTCTGTCTGTCTGTCTGTCTGTCTGTCTGTCTGTCTGTCTGTCTGTCTGTCTGTCTGTCTGTCTGTCTGTCTGTCTGTCTGTCTGTCTGTCTGTCTGTCTGTCTGTCTGTCTGTCTGTCTGTCTGTCTATATATCTATTTATCTATTTATCTATCTATCTATTTATCTATCTATCTATCTATCTATCTATCTATCCATCTTTTTCTCGTACAGTTATCTATCCATCTTTTTCTCGTACAGTTATCTATCTATCTTTTTCTCGTACAGTTATCTATCTATCTTTTTCTCGTACAGTTATCTATCTCTCGTATACTTAATCATTTGTTCCCTTTTAAAGTGACCGGCTTGTCCGTGTGGTCCTCAATCGTCATGAACGGCTTGGCCTGCACCTTCTACACGAACATCGTAAGTTTCAAAAGTGTCAGTTTTTTTTTTTTTTTTTTTGTAACCACAAGTTTTTTTTTTTTTTTACTGAAATAGGCCAATTTAACACTTAGATGCTTCATATTCAACGGTTAATATTACAGTTTTCGTTCCGTGTATCGCGAAAACTTGTGTTTAGTTACTTGGGGATGTTTGAGCAAGCGACAGAGTCAGTCATGGTGAGCCTGCCACGCGAGAAACTACCACTAGCCGATAAAGTACCGATAAGCACTTTTAGGAAAGTTGACACACTCGCGAAGAAGATGATAAGTTCAATACAAGTAAACATATGCAAGGAAACGCGAAGACAAATGTATGCGCCATTCAGCAAGACAATTAGTCGTCTTCCCAGGTCAACTTTCTTTAGCGATGAAAAAAAAAACGTGATAAGGAGCATATTTATTTATTTATTTATTTATTTTTTTATTTATTTATTTATTTATTAATTTTTACATACTGCAACCCGTAAGGGCTATGGCAGGAGTGGGTAACAGGCCGGTACAAAACAAACATGGTGTAATACTTTGCGAAGGAAAGCAAAATACAAAATGGCAATACATGGCATCACATGGTGGCCATATATACGTATACATACACTATATCCTACTGCAGTGCACACAAGCACTGCGTCTGCATCTCGTGCAATGAAATAACGTTTTTGTACATTTATTTATTTATTTATTTATTTATTTATTTATTATTTATTCATTTACTTATTTATTTATTGTGCAACAATGCAAGGTTCTAGTGGCGCTTGCAGGAAAAAAATGGCGTTGAAAAAGTCACTTGACGAAACCTGTAGCACCATATGCGCATTCAACTGCAGTGAATGGTATTATAATTGTATAAAATATACGAAGCGAAGTCGTACTGATAAACAGTAGAAATAGCATATAGGTATTTTATTACGTAACACAACCACACTACCATAACATAACACCAAGGACATAGTACACGCTAATCAAACAGAATATCATTTGTGAGCTTCGTTAAGACACTATAGCCTCACTGAAGTATCCTAGTTCCTTTGTTGTTGGGCGATGTTTTGTGCGTGCTCGGTGTCTGTCGAGCACTGTGACAAATTAGTTCAATGATCCATCAAATATCGATATAGAGTACCATGCTACAATTGTAGCACCAGGAAAACATCTTAAACGCTCATCGAAGAACTTATAGGTACAACGCCAACTGGTAGCCATAAATTATCTCAAAAGAAATCACGTTGGTCTTCACCTTGCTCTATTTTATCGTCGTCCTTTTCATGTTACTTTACTTTAACGATGGTCACACCTTATTCGAAAGGGGAAGAAGGCAATGGGAGGTGAATACATTTTGCAGTAGCGCAATCGTCAACATAGCGATGTGCGCGAACTAATGCCACCATGCACCATTCTTCTAATCAAATTATCCCAACTAATTTACGCAACTTTTTATCTCCCTAAAATAAAACAATTATGAAACATAATAAAGTCAGTCTGCCTGGGTGCCTGGTAGAGTGGTTACGGTGCTCGGTTGCTGAGCCGAAGGTAGCTGGTTCGGTCCCGGCTGTTACAGTCGCACGTCCGTGTACGCAAAATATTAAAGGCCCGTGCACTCTACTGGGTGATATGTGAGGGCACGTTGAAGAACGATAGATGGTCAAAATTTTTGGCGCCCTCCACTGATGCATGCCTCGTCATAATCACATCGTAATCTTGACACTTAAAAGAGTGGACGACGACGAAGTGTATTTCTACCGAACGCTGCCTATTTCGTTTGGTGTTTTTTGTGTGAATTTACGTTCTATCCGAGGATCATCGCTCTCCTGCGGGCAGCGATGGATCCAGGCCCCACCGTACGCAATCCGGACTTGGCGTCACCTTCGACGTCAACCTCGAGGAAGCGCAACAGCCGGGAGGACGACAGCACCAGTGACAGCACTGAACTGTACACGGCGAGTAGTAAAGACAGCGACGAAGATTTCATCCCTGCAGTGAAGCGTAAAGCTAAAAGAAGAATGGTCGGCGCGTCTTCGCCAGCTAGCGTCTCTACCGTGAAGGCGGCGTGCAGTTCTGAACGCCATACCATACTTTTTGTTCCTGTCGACTCTTCAATCAACCTGAAGAACATGAACAGGCAAGTGATATCAGCGCGTCTCGAAGCTATCGTGCCTAATGAGATAAAGGATATTAGACTCAACCCACGGAAGAATATCCTGGCCATAGACGTTGAGCACCCGGCTGCGCTACATACCCTGCGAACTGTCACTGAGCTTGGAGGCATCTATCCCAGAACTTACATTCCGCAGGATAGTGACACGACGACAGGCGTCATTTATGACGTTGATGTTTCCATACCGATCGCAGACCTTCCTGTTCTGATAAAGCCAGCTACTGGAGCAACGGACATATTGCAAGTATGCCGGCTTGGCAAATCCCGTTGCATCAAGGTGACCTTCAGAGGTGATTGCATCCCATCACATGTAAAGGTTGGTCATTTTCGTCACGTTGTCCGACCATACATCCCAAGACCACTACAGTGCCACAACTGTCTAAAACTGGGTCATGTTAGTGCTGTGTGCAACAACAAGCAAGCATGCCCACGTTGTGCCGGACCCCACAAAGCAGAGGCTTGCCAAGCAATTCTCCTAAAATGCAGCAACTGCAACGGCAACCATGAGACCTCGTCCAAAGACTGCCCAGTACTGAAGAAAGAGAGGAGCATTCTGAGACAAATGGTTAAAGACGGATCCTCACGAAAGGAAGCGGTAACGGTTGTCCAACGACGGCGTTCCCGTCGACGGCGGTGCTCGAAGAAAAGAAAAAGCAGTCCTGTGCCGAAGGTGCCTTCATTAACGCCGCCACCGCCACCACCACCGCCGCCACGACCACAGAGACCTCCCCCGCCCCCGGCACCAGGTGGGGTACGTCCAGAGGTACCGAAAGACACTGTGGCGCTACCGAGAACATCCGGCTCTGACTGGCCCACTTTACCGCGGGTACACGTGTCTACGGAACCGCAATATCGACAGTCAACAACGAATATGCCCCCAGCAGGCAGTCTGTCCGCCCAAGAGGTACAAGTCTTTTCTGTACTGAGGTCGTTCACGAGTGTTATTCGCACTCTATTGGATAGTCTACAGATCCCCGCCGCTAAATGCGCGCTGCAAATCTTGGACACACTAGAACCAGTTCTTGCCGGACTTCAGTAACAAGATGGCGCACCATAGACCGCATCAGCCTTTCCGAGAAAAAGTCAAGCGTGCTTGCATAATTCAGTGGAACGCAAGAGGTCTACAGTCAAGAATGCCTGAGTTCCGACAATTTATTTTCGAAAATAAGTTTCCCATCATCATCATTTGTGAACCGCATTTTTCAAAAATACCTCGTCTGTCGGGCTATGAATCGTTCGTTTCTTCAACGTGCATTGAGCGAAGTCAAGTTGCTGTGTACATCCGTAAAGAACTCACTTACGTTCTCCAAAGAGTAGATTCTCACAATGGAAATCACTACGTGTGTCTATATGTTAAAAAGAAGAAGTTGTCGTTTACACTGATAGGCGCATATATAGCGCCGTCAGGTCGACTAAATCAACAAATCTTGAATGGTATATGGGGAAGCATCAGGACAAATCGAAAAGGCACGGACCTAGTTGATCTCGCATCAGAGCACGGGCTTCAGGTGCTGAACGACGGCAGCCCTACTTATCTCCGAGGAGTAACTTACAGCAGTTGCCTGGACTTGACATTAGTGTCGCATAGCATTGTCACGAAAGTCCAATGGTTCACAGATATTGAAACACGTGGCAGCGACCATATCCCCACGTACGTGACAGTCAGAGGTTTGGACGATTCTCCTTCCCCTGGACATTCAAGACTTATTGACTGGGAAGAGTTTCAGATATCAGTGGAGAGCAAGTGCATGCACGGACCACCGGAATCCATTGAAGAAGTGATTAGTTGTGCAATGGAGACTTCCACGAAGATATGTTCGAAAGAATCGAGACGCGCGGCCCTCGATCAAGAGTTGGAACAACTTAGAGCGGTCCGCCGACGTGCCGAAAGACGATTCAGACGCACGAAATCTATCTCTGACCTCAGAGAATCCAGACCCATTCAGAAAAAAATCCAGCGTCGAATGCACAAACTTCATGAAACACGGTGGAAGAATTTTTGTGACTCGCTAGACCCTCGAAAGCCCTTGTCTCCCGTATGGAGGACTCTTCGAGGTATTCACTCGCATCTGCAACAGCGTCACCCCTTCGCCGCTCTGGCGCTACATCAACATCGCTTTCTGGGGTATTTTGTGCCAAGATCGCCGGCGACATCTCTATACCGATCGATCTAATGCCACAGGATGTTCCAGTCGCACGAGATCAGCAAATGGAGGTTGCGTTCACCATGGAAGAACTTCATGCGGCATTGAACACATGCAGACGCTCATCGTCCCCAGGTCCGGATAGAGTGACCTATACTGCCCTACGTCACCTAGGCCCGAAGGCACAGCGCTGTCTCCTGGACATTTTCAATAAGTCTTGGCATGATGGAATGGTGCCTGATGAGTGGAAGTGTAGTCGCCTGGTGCCTTTGCTGAAGCCCGGAAAGTCTCCATTCGATTTGGCATCATACCGGCCTATAGCACTAGCAAGCTGCGTTGGCAAGGTCATGGAGAGGATGCTGCTTACACGCATGGAATGGTACCTGGAACATTATAACATCTATCCTGATGCTATGGCTGGTTTTCGACGAGGTCGGTCCTCAGTTGATAGCGTTATTGACTTAGTGACCTCTGTTCAGCATCAGAAAGCTCAGAAGCGACTGTCGGTAGCTCTGTTCTTAGACGTGAAGGGTGCCTATGACAACGTGACCCACGAGGCTGTTCTCAATGCTCTTGAAGCAGCTGAACTTGGAGGTCGTGTCTTTCGATGGGTAAGAAGCTACCTCACAAAGAGATCTATGTTCGTTTTAACTGAAGATGGGTGTACGAATAAGTATTTCACAAGTCGTGGGGTGCCACAAGGCGGTGTTTTGAGTCCTACACTTTTCAACCTGGTTCTCGTGGGGCTCACTGAAATGCTGCCACAGACGGCTTATGTATCTCTCTACGCTGACGATATCTGCATTTGGGCGTCCGGCGTGACATGACCTCAAGTGCGCGCAAGAATACAGAAAGCGGCAACAATGACATCGGCATACCTTCGCCAGCAAGGTTTGACTATCGCCACAGAAAAATGCGCAGCGGTGGCGTTTACACGCAAACCGATGTCTTTCTACTCTTTGTGCATCGATGGCAGATCAATCCCATATAAGAGCACTCATAGATTCTTAGGCGTCATCGTAGATCGTGACCTAACCTGGAGCCCGCATGTCACATACCTGAAGAAAAAGCTCATTGGCATTGAGAATGTATTCAAAATCGTCGTCGGAAAATCATGGGGCCCATCCGTGCACTCCATGTTGCAGCTTTATACAGCCCTCTTTCTCGGAACTCTCCGGTACAGCCTTCCGGTCCTGTCCAACACGTGCAAGACTAACATCCGTGCACTGCAAAGCGTACAAGCCCAAGCACTTCGGACATGCCTTGGCCTTCCAAGATGCTCATCGACAGTGTCAACTATTGTTATTGCACAAGAACAACCGGTCACAACGCACATCATTGTCGAGACGCTGAGAGCGCACATTCGGCATTTATCACGGCTACCGTCACATCATTTAGCGTGTTTGACAGCTCGGAGGCCCCATTCTTCGTACTGCGGTATCGTGACAAAACATCAGGACATACTACCGCCTGGCTTCAAACTTGCCATGCATCCAGCAACTGCGCCATGGAGTCTTCGTCAACCTGACGTGCGCTTATCAGTTCCTGGAATCTTTAAGAAGGCACGCATGTCAACGCTAGCCCTGAAGCAACTGACTTTGCGTCTGTTGGACGAAAGGTACTTCGACCGCATACATGTTTACACCGATTGCTCCACTAATTCCAACAGCTCCACAGGAGCAGTGGTTGTTCCATCTGAAAATGTGTTGCTTCAGTACAAGTTTTCTCACACCACGACGTCGACAGCAGCAGAGCTCGCAGCACTTCAAGGTGCAGTAAAGTACATTCTTCACCAGGAACCTAACCAATGGGCCATCTTTTGCGACTCCAGGTCAGCCTTACAGTCACTACGGCTTGTTCTGCAGCACGGGCTACATGAACAATCAGTATATCAGATAAGGCACGACTACCACGAAGCGCTCGCGGAAGGTCACGATATTGTATTTCAGTGGTTGCCGAGTCATTGCGGTATCGTTGGCAATGACCGCGCAGATGAAGCTGCTCGATCGGCTCATGACCAAGACCAGCGCACGCCCATACCACTCTTGAGAACGGACGCCGCAAGGCTACTACAATCACTTGCTCGCCGTATATCTCTCCTACAATGGAATACGCAGGGTTTCTCCAACACGCACCTGTATTCGATCGACCCAAACTTGCAACTTCGTTTGCCATCCGGCTTCCCACGATGCGCTGAAACTTTACTGTGTCGCATGAGGTTGGGCGTGGCATTTACGAATTCGTACTCTCGTCTCCTTGGAATGGCGAACACTTCGACATGCAACATCTGCGCCTGCGAGGAAACGCTTGAGCACATTCTATGTCATTGCCCAGCATACCAGACCGAACGACGTATTATGGAAGCCAAGCTCTGTCAGCTAGATTCACGGCCGCTTACAGAAGAGAAGATCCTGGGACCTTGGCCGACGGCTTCCCATACGCGCAAAGCCACGAAAGCCCTCTTGTACTTTTTAAGGAACACCAAACTTCACGACCGCTTGTGAAAGAACTGTGCGAGGCCGTGCTGTGTAGTTTCGAGCTGACTATTTATGCTTCTCTTTCTTACTCCTCTTCTTTTCTGTCTTTTTTCGTTCTATTATTCCCCTTTTCCCCCACCCCAAGTGTAGGGTAGCCAACCGAGCCAAGCTTGGTTAACCTCCCTGCCTTTCCTCTCTATTTATCTCTCTCTCTCTGACACTTAAAATCCCAGACATTAATACCCAAGTGAACCTGAAAACAATGGCTACTAAGGTATGTAGCCCTGAAAAAAATGGAGATTACCCTCGCCCACCCCTTGCCACTGTATCTTCTTTTTTGCAATACTACTAATTTCGTCTTTGCCAACAAAACAAATAACCCCCTTTGCTTCCTGCTTTTTCGGTTTCATCTCAATTGTGAATGAAGCCCGACTGCTGTTGAACGGCTGTAAATTAACCAAGCAATCACTGCGGCACGAGAGCTCCTTCACTTATGGTCCATGCATATTGGGCCCCTAGAGGCATTCGCGGCGCTACTACGAATCACAGCAAAGTGAGAACAAAAAATGTAGCCTGACTGTTTAGGATTTGAGTGCTGGCGATTTTATAGAAGCCCACAATCAGTTACAACCACATGCGGTGATGGGGAACAAAAGTTTATTTTTTATTCGCTAAAACGTTTCTGGGCAAGTAAGTAGGGTTCTCAGTCAGGGCTTCACTGGCCTTCGTGTCCCGCCCGGCTTTGGTCGATCATAACCAGCTGGCTTTCCCGATCCCCAAAAGGGGAGCATCGACGTTTTTGTGGCCGCGATTCACATTTCCACGTAATGTGGGCGGGAGTTGGCCGTTCGCCATACCACGGACAGCTGCACGCGTAATTGTGGGATTTCTGTCGTGGTTTATTTGTAAATGAGAGTACGTGTTGGTCTGTACTCGACGCCGACCTCGCACCTGTTCTCCGGTAGAATCCAAATGGGGATCACTAAGTTTTTGTCGTTCTCTTTCTTGACTTTTGAGGTTGTCACGTGGAGATGACTTATAACCTTTTCTTTTTTTTTTGGGGGGGGGGGAGGTTATAATCGTGAAAAATAATGAAGTTTCTATATACAAGAACAAGTCCTTTAAGCAAATCCCTTCAATTTGTTCTTGCTCTTTTTCTCCAGGGAGGCCTAAAGGCGGTGGTGTGGACGGATGCAGTTCAAATGATACTGATCTACGCGAGCTACTTTCTAGTCATCACAGCGGTATGGACATTTAATCACTATACACGTATGTCTGCCGCTCACGACCTCACCAGTTTAAGTTGATGAGTAGTAACTGCTTGTTTACTAGCATGGTCATATACCCGAAAGCGCTATATTTATCCTGAAAATCTAGAGCAGCGCTTTGTTCCTTCTTGAAAATCTAAAGGGTGGTAACACTTTTTTTTTCAGTTTGTCAAAAACAAAGATACCCATGTATTAGTTTCATGCATTTTATTAAAACGCTATGTCCGTTGATATCTTCTTATGAACGCTCTGTTACCACTTTAATGGTAGCCCTGCAACACTTTTTCAGCGTGGTGAGAAAACGCTGCTGATCGGTAGTCGAGGCTCCTAAAAAACTCGCGAGTCGAACATTACTGGGCAGCACGCGGCCTTGAATTTACAAGTAGTTCTGAAAGTTGACTCGAAGTCACCCCCTCTTCTCTAAACAAACGCCATAAACCCAAATGACCCCGCCATAAAGCTAAATTCTACGGCCGTTGACTGATTGTGGAGCATTGTGAGCTGCATAGTCATCGCGGCCACTGCAAGATGCCGCCACCTGCCCGTTTACGCGCTCGCGATCACATCGAAAGTAAGCCGCGAGTTTGAAGGAAGACAAAAAAAAGACTGTGAAGGTCACGACGCGCGCTCACTAACGAATGCATCTTGTTGCACCCTTGACATTTGCCACTGCGTAGCTTTCAGTGCACCGGCTGATACGAAAGGAGAGCAAGTGCTTAAAACGTGCGACAAATTCTTGTAACTGCGATCGTGCTCGACGAATCGCAAAAAAAAAAAAATGCGGCAGTCGAATCATGAGGCACTAAATTCCTCTATTCAAGCGAAAAAGTTATTTGGAAAAGTGTTGCAGGGCCCCTTAAAGGTTTGATCCCTGAAAGTGATAGTTGGCTACTAAACGGCGTAAGCCCCTGTTCTTGTAGTTCAGTCAGTGAGCGCGGTCACCAGAGCTTTAAACAAAAAGTGGCGTGTCGGTGGGCAAGAAGCAAAGGTGGCTTATGTTCGCATATGCTTATCTGCCGGGAGAGAGGAGAGGAAAATACCATGTCAGACCTTTTTGCCCTCGATCAGCAGATAAGCAAGAACGATGATGTCCGAAAAAGAATGTGCCTATTCTTTTATCAAGCTGCGTCTGCGTAGTGGTGTACGACACAGCGTTTTCCTGTAAGGAGAGCTACATCGGTCAAACCGGCAGGCACTTAACGGCCGGTACAGCGAAAATAAAATAAAGTATGCAGATACAGTGATCTTGATGTTGTGAAACATTCTTTAAAGAAATGAGAGGTGCATTTGAAAAAAAAAAAGAAGTATGAATGGTGGTGCTCTTTCTCTAATGAACGCTTTCATCTTGAAGAAAAACTTCACTAAACGGGAAAGAGCTATACCTAAGATCAACTTTTTAAAATTTACTTATATCCGATCTTTCAGTTTCAGTTTATTTCAACATCACGATACAGCGTACAGTGATGCTGTGGGCAGTGGACAAAAGGCCTCTAAAATAGGCTTAAGACTGAAAGCTTTATGCAATCTTTAACTCCGCAATTAAGATTTCTATAGCGTATGTGTTAAGAAATAATTATGAACATCTTCGCACAATTTTTACTGCACTTACAGTAGGCATGCATTATTTTAGAGAAAAAAATATTGAGAGTCGCTTCCCAGTCAAATGCGTGCGACATTTTCATTTGCCCACTCATCGACATCAACGCCCCGTAGTTGCGCCTGTTGCACGTAATAAGGCAGAGAACAATTAACGCCACTTGGCGTGTCATGCTATTTGCTCTATACGCCCGTTTTTTTTTTTTTCTCTCTCTTTCAACTGCAGGGTGTCCTACATGTCGGAGGATTCGGCAACATGATAACACTGGCTGAAGAGGGAGGGCGGGTCAAAGTATTCGAGTAAGCAAAAGCAACAAAGCGATCCTGATTCACTTATTCCGGGTTTTTATGTGGTATTTATGATCAGCAAGAAAAATTGGAAAGCTACTAAATACATTATAAAGAAATACCAAGACACTCATCTCACTTATTGCGTAGAAGACGTGAGTATTTTGGAGATTGTGTTTCAAATTTGATGGCAGCATTTAACTGGCCAGCACGAGGGAAAAGAAGTTTAGAATAGTTGTTCAAAAAGCAAGGACTATACTAATAGAACAGGAATCATTGCAGATGTAGGTGACAGTATTTTATACGAACTTGCGCGAAGGTAGAAAGAGGTAGCCAATGTACTACACTAAAGGCATGGCTGTAACCAATATACCAGCTAAATATAACGATCACCACTCCATTTCAAAGGGGAAGTCCCAATTTCCATCATCCTGTCTGCAGGCCTCAATAATTCTACCTCGAGTCAAGGGGAATAGCGAAGATACCAATGGCGGCGCGCGCGATGACACACACACACACACACACACACACACACACACACACACACACACACACACACACACACACACACACACACACACACACACACACACACACACACGCACACACGCACGCACGCACGCACGCACGCACACACACGCACGCACGCACGCACGCACGCACGCACGCACGCACGCACGCACGCACGCACGCACGCGCACGCGCACACTCGCGCGCGCGCACACACTCGCGCGCGCGCACACACTCGCGCGCGCGCACACACTCGCGCGCGCGCACACACTCGCGCGCGCGCGCACACTCGCGCGCGCACACTCGCGCACACACACTCGCGCACACACACTCTCTCACTCACACACTCACACACTCTCTCACTCTCTCCGCACACACACACACACACACACTCACGCCCCGCCGTGAAGGTCTAGTGGCTCGGCTGATGACCCGCAGGTCGCGGGTTCAAATCCCGGCTGCGGTAGCTGCATTTCCGATGGAGGCGGAAATGTTGTAGGCCCGTGTGCTCAGATTTGGGCGCACGTTAAAGAACCCCAGGTGGTCGAAATTTCCGGAGCCTTCCACTACGGCGTCTCTCATAACCATATGGTGGTTTCGGGACGTTTAATCCCACATATCAATCAGCATGCACAGAACAGACAAACGCAGCGCTGACTTTTTGTAATTCGTGTGTACACAGCAACCAATCAGAATTTAATCGCAATAACAGGCGTATACAGTGCGAGGGAAATTATTTACAAAAAAGAATGTGAAGAATGTAATGTTCTGTAACATACCTACTTCTTGTTGTAGTTATGAAAGAAATGCCGCAAACGATTATAACTCGCCCATACGTTTTTCGAAGAACTGTAACGGTGACGTAGACCCGTCTGTAACTTAACCTAGCCGTTGGCATCTGTAACGCTATCGTAACTGCTTAAATTTAATGGTGTTGCAGAGGCGGCGGTAATACCAGACAAGTGGCTGGGACGCCAGTAGTAAAACTCCGTGTGTAACTAATAAGGCGGACCGTGAACCAATATTTCAGTTATGACATCAACGGTGTGAGACAGCATGTCCAATATTTCAGCTCGCCTTCGATTTCACTCCGTTCATTAAGGCCCCAATTCTGCAAACGGGATGCATGTGTGGAAAAGGTCCCGTTGCGAAAGCGTTCCCTAACAGATACGCCTGTGTGCCTTGCAGCTGGAACCTCAGTCCGTACCAGACGTTCACATCGTGGTCGCTGCTTCTCTCCTGGTCAGTGCGCTGGTGCTCGGCGTACTGCGCCAGCCAGACGCAGGTGCAACGCATATCCAGCCTGCCCTCTGCCAAGCTGGCGCGCCGGTAAGCAGCTCTACAGAAGTGCGCCTTCTTTACCGCGGTATACTGATATTGATGAAGCCTATTAAGCATGCTAAATTACCTCTGACGTCGTACGCAACACAGATATTAGAGTTGATTAAGAAATTAAGCAAATCTTTTAAAGTAACACTGTAACACTGATATTAGAGATATTCACACTGTTGTTCTCAGTGAAAACACCATTGTCAATAACCTTGATAAGAACGTCTCGTAACCGTTCAAAACACTTTCGGTTTCCATATCGAGGAGGTGGTTTCACGGTAGTTTGTCTTCACAGCCTGATGTGCATCTAAGTCACGCGGCGGCATCAACTCGTGACGTGCTAGCGTTGCGCGCGTAAACAACAGCGAGTGTATTGTCCTCCTGTGGCTCAGACAGCGATTCTGGCCTCACACATAACGCCGAGTTTAGACCCAGTGAATCGCTCTGCTTTGACTCGGTATGATAATGTCCATTGTCTATGTTCATAAAAATGTCCGGAATGGTCACGTGGGAGCAGTGGTGTAGCCAGGGTATGGTACACTGACTCCGTGCCCCCCCACCCACCCACCAACCTTTTGTTTTGTTTGTGATGGCAGACACATCCTAAAATGACACTCAACCACATCTTCTTGCCCACAGCGCCCACTTTCGATAAAGGGGGTGCGCCCCCCCCCCGAAAAACATCGCAGCCCATGCACGGAATGAATGATAATGAGTGGGGCGAAGGGCCTGCCTGCCTGCCTGCCTGCCTGCCTGCCTGCCTGCCTGCCTGCCTGTCTGTCTGTCTGCCTGTCTGCCTGTCTGTCTGTCTGTCTGTCTGTCTGTCTGTCTGTCTGTCTGTCTGTCTGTCTGTCTGTGACGGACAGATGGACGGACAAACGCTTCGCCCCGCTCATCACTCACTCTGTGCATATGCTGTGAATTTCTATACGAAAACCACTAACGCTATCTAGTGGTATTATCTACAAGTACATATACACGCAACGCCATCTAGTGAGTAATTCTTAATACTAACTAGAAGTGGCTACTACAACATACTACAAGGTAACGACCCACAATCTAAAGAGCTACACCCCTAAACAATTTCTGCTTACGCCCATGCTTGGGAGAACCACTTCAGCGGGACTGGCTTGCTGTTGCTGGGCGACGGAAATAGCAAAATCAAACTGAAACATTGTGAGTTCGCTGGCTCCCGTGTGTAAAGGGCATTAACGCTGCGTGCCAAGGAAGCGAAATTTGTCCTCATTGCGATAACTCAATACTGTGAAAGTACTCCTACGAAACTTTTTCAGCTGAGTCATATGTCTTCAACAGAAACGTGGTACAACAGAGTACATCACAAAACATTACAACATATCGAGTCGTCATATGTGACCGTCAAGACAATACTGGGCAGGCTGCCATGCTTGCCTAAGGTCAAGTGAAAAATTTTGGGTTGGTAGTGCGGGAAGAAAATATGAAACAGATATCACAATTATGACTTACTGTGCTACTATAGACAGATGCAGTGTCTCACAGGAGTTGTACGTAGGGAAGTACCGAGTGCCCAACGTCCGATTGAGCTGCATAACTTAAAAGTGACTTCATGGCTGTGTACTTTCCATGACTCTGTTACCTTTATTTTCATGCGATTGATTGATTGATTGCAATGTCAGGTTTTGGTGAGACATTTGCTGCGAGAGATGCTGCAACATGTGCAACTCGCGTCCACTGAAAACATTCACCCACCTTGTTACTCACGCGTTTCTTTTATAAAAACCGAATAATCCTCCACTTCAGCATAAAGTATGCCACAAACTCAGCCGTTTCCGTGTTCTTGGAAAGCGAGTTTTGTAATTCTGTGGCGAAAGGATAAATGAGCTGAGCGTGATTCCGTAATGGGGGCAACTTTAGCGCCACCTTGAGCGGATACATTGAATATGTTATATTTCGCAAGTAACATTACTTGTGCATATCTTTGGCATCGATATTCCTATGTAACCACGTATCGTGAAATAGCTTAGGACTAACGACGTGTCATTTTTTTTAATCGCGCCATACACCGACGTCCATGAACTGCAATGCCGTGGACAACAGCGCTGTGCTGTTCAACCTACCGGCGGCCGCTATCACCACGTTCCTGCCGGTGTTGGCCGGTCTTGCCCTTGTCGCCGTCTACAAGGACTGCGACCCGAGGCTCACTGGAGACATCAAAAAGCCGGATGAGGTACAGTGTGACCTTTAGTGTGTGACCTAGACAGAAAGTACGTGACCTAGACATAGACAGAAAGACAGAATTTAGGGGTTCTAACCAGGGTACCTGCAAGGGAAAAAAATTGGCCCCGTATCTACATGTTTTACTGCAAATGTCGTCGAAAGACGATAGTCTTGCGTCTGGAGAGAGTGAACAAAATATTTATTTGATGTTCTGCACGGGAAAATCGGTTATAACCGATTTTCCCGTGCGGAACGTTATAACCGAATACAATTATAATTGTATTCTGGAGGCGCTGCGTTAGAGAGTCTCAATCCGTGCAGCGAAGGCGACGAGCGCATCGAGGCACGTTAGACACAAGCGCTATCTGGCAGTTATCTTCGAAAACAAAGGAAGGCGCGTGCACCCCTCTTGGAGGCGATGAAGTGTAGAACGCAAAGCGACGGGCAAGTGCCACCACCATGCCGTCTTAGGTAGAGTAACTGTATATGGTCCCAGCGGGACCGGAGTAGCACATAGGTCCGCCATCTTGCCTGGCTAGCAACCAGCTATGCGGCGAAGTCGCCCTCTGTTTTTGCAGACAACACTCCTGCCGTGTTTCTTTTTTGTTTGTTTGTTTTTGCCATGCTGCATGTTGACATACTAGCTTGGCTTGCGTCCTTCACGAACTGTTTGCAGTGCTTGAAGGCCGCTTTTCTGCCCGATTGCCAACAAAGTGTAACGTGATTGATTGATATGTGGGGTTTAACGTCCCAAAACCACCATATGATTATGAGAGACGCCGTAGTGGAGGGCTCCGGGAATTTCGACCACCTGGGGTTCTTTAACGTGCACCCAAATCTGAGCACACGGGCCTACAACATTTCCGCCTCCATCGGAAATGAACCAAGTGTAACGTGAGAGCTGACTGAATAGCGTGGTAAAAAAAAAAAAAAGCAGCGTGTGGCGAAAAGTGCAGAGCGAACATCATGAACTTATTTGGTCTTGCGACATACACATTTCGTAAATTTTCGGAATTTCGGACCGAATAACGAGCGGGAACATTCAGCATTTATGTTACGCTAGTGAAATATGCGACATTCGTTGACCTTGACGGTACATGAAATCGCCCGATTAGTCTCGGTGAATACAACCCAAAAAAAAAAGTTATACCTTTAGGCTTTTGAACCGCGTAAGAGCATAACGGTGCACTCTTTGCACAACTCGCATTGTGTGACGCACGGTTGTTACTTGACTGTTCTAAAATGATTTATTTCACACGTAAACGCTAATACTTATCCGATATGCTGCCTACATAAAGTCAGTTGTGGTACAGTTCGCACGTTTGGCGTAGTTTTGTGGTAGAGTACTCTGCTGTTACGCGAAATACAGGGGTTATACTCCTAAGTAAGACACGTATATGTTTTTGTATGGTCTTTTTTTTATTTCTTGCATTAGTGATCACGCACACCGGCGGTGGTGAACATCTTCGGCGCCGGAGTCGGTCCTTGTGATCTCATAAGAGCTTTCGCTCAGTGGCGAATACTTTGCATGAAGACAGGTAATCTGGCTCCCTTTGAACAGATATGAATGCGCAACAAAGAACAGCGCATTTGTCTTTCAGCATGTACGCCACAAACGAAGGAGCACTCAGTAGTGGATGGTAAAACATATTTTACCACTTTACCCAGTCATTGTAAAATTCCGATGGCTGTGATGGTATAACTGCAGACCTGGTGCGCACTAGGAGCTGATCCACAGTAACCCGCACACATGCACGAACTACATTCAGAAAAGGCGCGAAGACCAGTGAGGTTTGCTTTGAACTTGACTGGCGATGATTCGCGTCAATGCAGCGGCGGCGGCGGAAAACACAAAATTGGCCTGAGCGTCAGCTTCTCCGCAATGCATGATTGCTGGCGGCCCCGGCAGAGTTGGAAAACTGTTGCAGGGGTGGAAGCAGGCTTCAGTCTTTTGGAGCAGCTTTGGGTGCAGGAATAACACTGTTTTTGAGCAGTAAAATGGGCGTTTTGGAGCATGAAAATTTAGTTTTGGAGCAGATTTATTTGGTCACACATCACTGTCAATTAGAATTTTTGTTTTCTCTTTGCTTTCTCATTAACACAAAAAAATGCAGTGGTTTTTACTAAGAATTTTGTGCTGATCAAGTGAGCAGACTTACCCAAAATTTATATATATATATATATATATATATATATATATATATATATATATATATATATATTAAACATTACAACATTAACGTTGAAAGCACAGCAACTAAAAAAACATAAGCGGCGCTTTGATTGATTGATATATTGATGCACGAGGTTTAACGTCCCAAAACCACCACATTATGAGAGACGCCGTAGTGGAGGGCTCCGGAAATTTCGACCTCCTGGGGTTCTTTAACGTGCACCCAAATCTGAGCACACGGGCCTAAAGCATTTTCACCTCCATCGAAAATGCAGCAGCCGCAAGCGGGATTCGATCCCGCAACCTGTGGGTCAGCAGCCGAGTACCTTAGCCACGAGACCACCACGGCGGGGCGATAATAAGCGGTGGTCTGAACAGCTACTCAGACGAATAAGAAAATTTCTTAAAATGTTTCAATGTTCAAAATGTGATTAAAACACTGCAGATAACTTGAACAGGGACTCAGGAATAGAGATGAGCTAATATAATGAAATTTATCTTCATACTAAACGAATAGGGCTGTATAAAAAATAAATGTAAAAAACTTATGTTCCGGTCATTGAAGTGCCACAGCCGACATGAGAACCGCGAAGAAATTTAGATGGGCTCGCCACGCTACTGCTGGGCAATTAGTGATTTTTTTTTTATTAGGATAGGAAGTACACGGACACTCTACGGATTTTAGCCGTCGCCGCCATGTTCCACGTAAACTAAAGGTTGGTAACATTCCCCCTGAACATGATACGTTTTACACGCACGCAAAAATTGCGCAAGTTCGGGTGGTGTGCGCTACGCAAGCAGAGATTAAACGAGGCGGCCAATCTCCGTCGCTTTACGGCGTACGCCATACTATCCCACCGCGTGTTGCCGTCGAATGCTGAAGCAGAGGGGAAAGGCACCGCCCGTCTTGAACGAGCGTGAAAAAATACGTGCGGGAAGGGGGGTGGGCGAGTCTCTCGAGCAGCAGCGGTGAACTTTGAATCGAAGGGCGTGGTTGTGATAAGCTGACGCGCGTGCTATCGGCAAGCATCAGCGCGCGGCTCGTAAACCGTTCTACGTGGTGCGCTCCCTACGGAAAGAGATTGTGCCATATGAGCATTTCTCTCTGGAGCGGCCGTACGTCCTTTCTTACACCAGCGTTTTGCAGAGTGTCGCGATGTCGGATTATAAAGCGTTAGTTTTCAACCTTCGTATTGACACGGGGTCGGGAAGTTGACGAATGCAGCAGCCGCTGTTTTCTCGAGTGAATCTTATATGGATGAACCTGTGCCCGGCGAACAAAACGTCACTCTACAAGCAATACAAGCTGTACACTGATAGCTGCAAACCAGGGCGTCGACCATCGATAATCTGCCAAGCAGCAAAGTGCGTCGGCGTTTATACATGTGCCATCGAAGATTGCCGCGTTATCGCTGGTGGCTGCGTAAGTTCCAGAACACTCTAATGTGCGCGTAATATCATGGGAAGATTCTAATATTATCTAGATTGTTCGCAGTCATTCGGGAGCGGATTGCGCAAAGCAGCGTTAGACGCGTAATGCTGCTGTAGCAAAAATAGAAAGCGCGTGCGGCATTACCATTACAAGTTCTTGCTGTTGACGTCAGCTTTTCACCAGTGAAACTAAGTCACATAATGAGGTATGTACAGAAACACCACCTTAAGAAGATTCATGCATGAACCGAAATACCACGTCACCGAACTAATTTTATATGTGGTTGTGTCCTTTGTGTAGCCCACGCGTGTTGCTCGGTTGATGATTAAACTCGACTGAATTTAGCGTTGCACATGCAAATTACCGTTTAGGCGCTGCTTGGCGCAGCAGGTCAGATTGGCGCAGACTGGCGCAAATGGCGCAGCACTTCCACTCCTGCAGTTGCGCTACTCTGGTCCCGTGGGGACCATATACAGTTACTCTAGTCTTAGCAAAGCGTTGTAAACACTTGCCCTTTTGAGCATCGCGTTGCATTGTCAGCACAGCGTGATAAACGCTGCGGTTCATAGAATTACTTATGTATGCCTTCCTTAGTTTAAAGACACACATACAGAATATTGACGTGTTGTTATGGTGCGTCACATAGGCGCAATAATCATCTTTAAATTGACAATCGTGCAACTATGAACGCTGAAACTTGACCAATATTGGTGGGCGTTGTGGATGGGGGTGGCCGTTTGAGATATCGTTTTTTGGGGTCGTTTAGGGTATCGTTACGGTGGACAGACAGACAGACAGACAGACAGACAGACAGACAGACAGACAGACAGACAGACAGACAGACAGACAGACAGACAGACAGACAGACAGACAGACAGACAGACAAAGGTGGTGCGTCGAAGCACTTCAAGGAAGACTAGTGTCTTTAAAGGGGCCCTGAAACACTTTTTTAGGTAAAAATGAAATTAATTCACTAGAAGAGCTTATTGCCTCACGAATGGAACGCCGCAAAATTTTTTAGAGTCCGTCCAGTGCGAGTGGAGTTGCAAAGATTTGTGGCATGCTGCAATTGCATTCTCTCTTCTCTCGTCCCGACGAAAGCGCTGGTAGCTATCAGGAAGGTGTGGCAGGGCCACCGAAAAACGTCACGCGTGCCTCGTGACTTTGAGAACTTTGTTTCTTTTTTTTTTTTCGAATGCGCGGCTTTTCAATGTGATCGCGCGCACACTAGTGGACAAGTAGCGGTCTCCCACGGCGATCTCTGTAACGAGCGAGCGCGCCATGTTCAAATCAGCCAATGGATGACGGATGGGCTTGCAACGTGTGATTTTTGGGCATATTGCATGATTACTCGAGAGAAGAGAAAGCAATTTTTAGCTCACTTTGATAATTCAGTGTGTATTCCCGGCCGCGTGCTGTGCTATAATATTTGTCTCGCGTGTTGTCGGGAGCCTCTACTACCAATCGGCAGTGTTTTCTGACCATGCTCAAAAAGTGTTGCAGGGCCCCTTTAAAAGATGACGCATGGAGCGCTGTTCGTGTTCTATGTTCTCCATTGAGGTGTTGCTGCACTGTGTTATCCAGCAAAGCTGTTACTAGTTAGACGGCAAGAGAGTTCGCAAGGTAATACATTTCAGCTCGAATGAAAGCTGGTGACGCCAAAAAACTATATGGCGGATTTTAGTTCTCGTGCCTAAGGTAAGGCGACAGCACATTTTCGTCAATATATTTTTTTATGTGTGTGTGCAGTTGATGCCGTACATTGTTCAAGATCTGATGGGAAAATACCCGGGCCTGTCGGGACTCCTAGTAGCATCCGTCTTCAGTGGCTCTTTGAGGTAAGATAATCGACACTTGGGCTGGTTGGTTGAGATGCGTGTTATAACTGTGGTTTAGGCACACGACGAACGCGCTTAAACCACAGTTATATCATGCATCCCTGAGGTAAGCTGAAAAGCGTGTCTCGGATAGGTACTTTTCTTGCAAAGGAGGTGCTCGAATCACTTGGTTGTTCTCGCACACCGTTGTGCGGTTCGCTTCTTTCCTTTTTAACCTTGATGCTGTTTTGCCTGATCCTGCTGGGACAGTTTCGGTATATTCGATCAACATTGAGGGACTGTTTGCGTCTCTTGTCATTGCGTTTAAACTCCAGTCTAGTAGCGCATTGCGTCGAGGTCCACAGAAAATGATGTACACGGGTGTGTAAGCAGAATACTAGCTCCGTGTTCTCTCTCGCCGTTCTAAATGGGTGGTTTGGACATGATGCGAGGATGGCGAGTGCCGCTAGCGTATCCGTACAATCACTGTCGTGGACGAATAAGCGTGAACGTGAGCAGGGCAGTATGGAGGCCAAAAGAAAACTCCCCCCTTCCCGCCCCCTACCACCGCTGATCGAGTTTGAAGTAAAGATAAGGTTTGCGGTGGATGCATTTCCGATGGAGGCGGAAATGTTGTAGGCCCGTGTGCTCAGATTTGGGTGCACGTTAAAGAACCCCAGGTGGTCGAAATTTCCGGAGCCCTCCACTACGGCGTCTCTCATAATCATATAGTGGTTTTGGGACGTTAAACCCCACATATCAATCAAGCAAAAAAAGTGATAATATATCAATGGCGTGCTTCTATATAACGGCCCCTACCCTTGGTCTCTGACATACTGGGGACGAATGTCACAAGTAAACAGCTTTTGGAATGTAACAACACACTACTAGTTGTATTATTTGTAATACAGCCCTTTTGTAATGCCGTTAGAGGGGTTTTCAAGGAAACAAAGTGAAATGTACGGGGCAAACTTGGCGCCCACCATAAATGACCGAGGCGTGAGTTAATTCCGTGCTGATTTTGTTTTTAGCGTTACCCCGGCTTATCGAAACGTAGGTACCACACTACTCGCTGATCTCGTATTCCGACGCAGCACCCTCTCCTCGGGCTACAACTCCATGGCGGCTGTCACGTGGGAGGACCTCATCCGGCCACGGGTCAAGCTGACCGACACCCAGTCCATCGTGATGCTCAAGTGCGTTGGTGCGTCCACTCCAGACAGACGCGTGTAGACTGAAGGGATCGCTTAACCCTTTCAGACGACAACTATGAAGAACTGTCTGTAAATGTGTCAAATTACTAACACGTTACTTCAAGGCACTCAATATTCTATTGCAACAAGAATAATGAGATGATTGATGAATTTATGCACGTTAGAGTAAGTCGTTCTGATCAAGTTGTAATTAAAGATATGTTTATCCTGTAAACATTGAGGCTTCCTTTTAACATAAACAGAATCACATCTCAGGCAAAAATGTAGTGCGAATTCTCTTTTGGTTATTTGATTTCCGAACAAAGAAAAATTCAGCTTTTCACATTGCTTGCAGCAAGTGCGCGGAACGTCACACGAGGTAGTGCCTTCAGAAAAGGGATCGTACGTATCAGTACACTGCAAAATGAAGTTAAATGAAGACAACTTTATTATGAGAGAGGTCCAATACATCTAAAGTACGATATGTCTTGCTATTTTTATGCCTCTACTTGAGGCGAATAGCGAAAACGAGTGATCTACACAAATGTGTACGTAGCGTCTCAACGGGTTAATCATGCACATACGCTCCTACAGCCTTGTTTTACTTGAATGTAACTTGGGAGCAAAAGTGCGCACGTGATATCCTTCCGTTGGACAACCGGGAGGTTTAAAGCTCGCGCGCATTGTTCTAAAAAAGAAATGTACGCTTATTTCGACGAAAGCCACGACGGGAACTAGCGACATCTCTGGCAACATTTGTGATGGCGGCTCAATTATAATACACCATGTGTTTGTTTCGCGCTGAACACTCTTTTGAACTTAAACCTTGGTCTACAATGTTTTTTTAAATCTTTTAAAGGTAGCTAGAGGCATAAATTATCAGTTGATGCTTCAACGATAATATCGTCAAATACCGCTAGTAATGCCCACTTAAGTATACGTGTCGTAGTGGCGAAAATTCAAGCCGAGGTGCATTGAATTTATGCCTGCTTTACAGAAATTCCAGGACACGGAGCCGAGGCAAACTTCTTTTTTTTTTGGGGGGGGGGAGGGCGCCCCTCTTTGAATTGGGGGGAGGATGAGCACATCCTTGAAATGGTCATTTTTTGCTCTGTACGCCAGGGCAAAAAACTTACAGAGGCAACGGGAAGGACCCGGTGTGCCACCTTCTGGCTACGCCACTGCCAAGAGTCACATCACTTTCGAGATAGGTGAACTTAAAGCGTGGTCTGATATGTATTGGCGTTGTAGCTAACGGTTTCTCAAAATCGTGTTCATGGTGCATAACGGGGTTGTGTATAGTTGGTATAATTTTCGTGGTATATGAGCACTATACCACGGACTATATTTCTCCCTCTATATTTCTCCCTTTTGGCGAAACTGTGACTTTTTTGCATGTATGTGGTTCATATGATGCATTTGCACAAGTTACATGTATTTTTTTTTTTTGCTGCATGACAGGTACATTCTACGGCTTCCTATCTATAGCCGTGGCATTCCTTGTCGGCTCATTGAAGTCTATAATGCAGGTAAGCTTGTGCGAATTCAATAACCACAGCTTTTTTTTTTATGTTTTCCTTAGCGATTTTAAAACTGACACTTAATGCACTTCGCGTCACTACTTTTCTCTAAAGCACACGTGACATAAAAGGTTCTTGAAAAGCGGCTTCACTGAGTAGCACATGCTGAATAAAGGAAAAATCTCATATTTGGTACATCGGTCTGTATGTGTTCTGTTCCTAATGGTGCATTCAGACGACGGACCGAATCCGGATTTGTCGTGGTCGCGGACAGCTAATCCGCGGATGGTCCGCCTGCAGGCGCATCCACACGACGGACGGGAAAACAGCCGGATTACCCTCGACAGCAGATTCGGCGCTCACCTGCGCTCGCTGGCAGCAGACCGGTTTGAGAGTATTCAACATGGATGCCCGCAAGAAGCGAAGCTTGGCTGCGATGTCTGTCGTCTTGTGACAAATGAACGAGTAGTGTTATTCTTTCAGGAGAAAAGGGAGTTGCTAGCAGGATATTCTTTCAACTACATTATTCCCCACTTGTAGAACTTCTAAACGTGTCTCCCGCCTTTTTTTTTAGAAGCGGCACGTCGCCGGTTGCAGAAGTTGGAATATTTCACCACCATGACGGCTAAGAATCTCGCGTGTTAAGCGACGGCGGCGACATTTCCCGAACCACCAAAAGTGATTTCTGCATATTTAATCACCTGAGAACAAAGTCTCCGGAAACTAAGTAAACAATGCTCAAGTGTAGATGATGCCGACCAGTCATGCGGCTGTCCGCGAGCCATGGAGGACATGCCGCGAGCAGACGAAAAGTGTACTGGTTGCCACCGACCCCAAGCTATTCTGCTGAAGTACCGGCTCTCCCCCGCCAGAATCCCGATGTGAGAAACAGGTTGGGTTCATCCGTCCGCGAGCCGCGCGGACGAGTCGCGGACGAGGGGAATCGCTGATGTGAGGTCACGTGACGCGCCGTCCGTCCCGCCACATCGGGATTCGGTCCGTCGTCTGAATGCACCATTATGGTGCATTCAGACGACGGACCGAATCCCGATGTGGCGGGACGGACGGCGCGTCACGTGACCTCACATCAGCGATTCCCCTCGTCCGCGACTCGTCCGCGCGGCTCGCGGACGGATAAACCCAACCTGTTTCTCACATCGGGATTCTGGCGGGGGAGAGCCGGTACTTAAGCGGAATAGCTTGGGGTCGGTGGCAACCAGTACACTTTTCGTCTGCTCGCGGCATGTCCTCCATGGCTCGCGGACAGCTGCATGGCTGGTCGGCATCGTCTGCGCTTGAGCATTGTTTACTTAGTTTCCGGAGACTTTGTTCTCAGGTAATTAAATATGCAGAAATCACTTTTGGTGGTTCGAGAAATGTTGCCGCCGTCGCTTAACACGCGAGATTCTTAGCCGTCATGATGGTGAAATATTCCAACTTCTGCAACCGGCGACGTGCCGCTTCTAAAAAAAAAAAAAAGGCGGAAGACACGTTTAGAAGTTCTACAAGTGGGGAATAATGTAGTTGAAAGAATATCCTGCTAGCAACTCCCTTTTCTCCTGAAAGAATAACACTACTCGTTCATTTGTCACAACACGACAGACATCGCAGCCAAGCTTCGCTTCTTGCGGGCATCCATGTTGAATACTCTCAAACCGGTCTGCTGACAGCGGGCGCAGGTGAGCACCGAATCTGCTGTCGAGGGTAATCCGGCTGTTTTCCCCTAGGACACCGTCCGTCGTGTGGATGCGCCTGCAGGCGGACCATCCGCGGATTAGCTGTCCGCGTCCACGACAAATCCGGATTCGGTCCGTCGTCTGAATGCACCATAACCGAATGCGCCATCAGCGAACTATAAGCCAAGAGTGAATGTTACAAAGTGCTTTGTAAAGAGATATTCACCATATGTGGTCCCCACTTCTGCTGCCTATACACGTTGCAGGCCTCCACTAGTCTTCTAGGAGTAACATCAGGTCCACTGCTGGCCATCTTTCTTCTTGGTGTACTGGCTCCTTGCTGCAAGAAAACGGTGAGCTAATCAGAAGGCATTCGTCTTAAGGGATTCAGAATTCCCGTGTAAGACCGTGAGTTTGAATCTTGTAAAGAGAGGATGAAACAGGTTAGGCAAAACTAGCGTAGCGAGCAAGGTATACGTAGAGCAAAACTGCAGTATGTCCCTTCAAAGATAGCTGTCTTGCTCGCAAAAAACAAAAATGCAGCGATGTACGTGCTGTGCCTTAACGCCGCGATTCTCGTTAAACTTGTTTTAAGCACCAACGCAATACAGCGTGCTTAGTCGTAGTCAGCGAACGAACTCTTCATTATTCGAGCAAAGTCAATTGCGTTACCGTAATTACGTGCCAGTCGGATCAGTATCCAGTCAATCTTTGTTTCGTCAAAACACGCAGATAAATTCAGCTGATTGTCTGTCGGTCACGTGAGTTCACTCCATTATACGGTGGTCGTTCGACAGACCATTACTGCAGCGGTGGTAGCCCCGGTGTAAATACATATACACTGTTTCGGTGAACACGTGCGTGGACCACGATCGAACAATAAATTAGCAATGGCACGCACCCAATGGTCTCGTTATGGCAGCGCCTGCCTATCGGTGGCGCGACGAACTTCAAGACAGAAACAATCTTATCCTCCGTTGCTATAGCAACCGCCGTGGGGCATGAAATCTAAATTCAGCGACAGACGGACAAGTACTATATCGAGGCACGCACGGAGGAAGGAAAAAGGTAAGGAGAGGGCATGCCCAGCCGGCGCAGGGCGTAAAAAATGTGGCGGAAATGACATCATGGCGGCCACATTCACTAGGCACAATGGCGGCGTTGCTATGGTTACGTGTTGCGCAGTGAAGCTGGTCTAGCAGTGAGCGGCCGCGGCTGGCGGCGGAATGTGTGCCTCCCAGGTCTCGTGCTGAGCCGTGGCGGACAATATCTGTGCTCTGCGCCGCGTTATTAGTTACGCAGTGTTCGTCTGGCTGTTACATTACTCTTAGCAACGTTTACAAATCTCTTTGTCCATTACGGGGTTTCAACAGTGCGTAGAACAAGTGCATATCCATGTGTCGTGCGGCGGATGACGCGGATGAAGCAGTTAGTGTTCAGCGAAATGGCGTTGGGCACCATGACGAAGCTGAATGTCGACGAACGCCTTGCAGGTCAGTGACGGTTGAGCAGTGCTCCGTTTGTGACAACGGACGACGCTGTTGAGCCCAGCAAGACGCCGTGAGGACCATGTGCACATACGTAGTTTCGTGTTGTGTGTGTACAGTAACAACTTGCATGTGCGTATTAAAACACCTTTTCTGTTCCGCTTGGTACACTCTCCACCAGCATTGCATGTAATCTCAGCGTAACAGCAACCACGTTCAACTGTCACTAGCACCGTGCTCAAAGTCACCACGGTCGCAGAATGCTGACGCAGGTGAGTTTCACGCGGAACACGGACACAGTGGCAGGACGCTGCGTCAGTCGCGTGGCGGAATGCAACCGTAGAAGGCGCACGACCGATCGTGTTGTCTGTACAGTTGCTGAATTAATGACGTGAAAGCACTCGCCGTTGTCAGTGCACCTAGCGCGCGTTCTCTCGTAGTTGCTTCGTTGTCGGCGAGCTGTTACTCTTTGTTATTACTCGGACGAAGCGATTTCGCTGAAGGTGTCCCGCTGGCTCTGAGTGATGAGCCCAGTTCCATTAGTTTCGGATCGTCACGACACACGCGCTGCGCAGCCCACGTGTTTTCCGAGCCGGAGAGGGAGTCGCGCCTTCTGCTTCGCATTCATATGTAAACAAGAGAGGAGAATTTGCCTACTCAATATGGCCGACTTCCGGCTTCATCGCGGCTTCACAACGAGTGACGTCAGGGCCTCTCCTTACCTTTTCCTTCCTCCGTGGTGGCACGCCTGGCCATTGTTGTGCGCCTTCCTGGCTCTGTTGTTGGCCTACTTTCGCCATGCGGCCAAATCATTTTCGAATTCTGCTCTAAGTGCCAGTTTCTATCCTTTTTTTTTTTTTTGTCTTGAGGTTTCGTTGTACCGCTGACAGATACCCACTGCAGTTACGCATAAAGTTCCTTTATATGGAGAAAGTACCGACACTCTCCTCCATATCCTCTTCAAAGTGTCCAACCCTTCTCTCCCGAGTGTCCAAACCTTATCTATGTCCTCTCCCAAATGGCCACCATGCAGGCGCCAGCACTATAACTCGGCTCGCGACACTTTCCTATCAAGAATGCCATGCTACGCTGATAACTCGCACGATGTTACCTTGCTCGACTGGTGCATGCGTCGAGAGGCGAGAGAGGAGGTTGCGGGGCGCGGCGGCTAGGTTAAAGATAGACGGTACTTTCCTAAAGATAATCAGGGATTTTAGTTATGAAAGTCGTGGCGTGTCCCCACGTAAATAGTAGTGCTAGTGCTATTGGTTGCAATGCCTCTAGATGGCACAAAACTTGTACAGACTCAGCGCGTGCGCAATAACAAGACGCAACGGGAACACCGATAATAGTGCTGCGCCTGCTGCGTTAGGCGGCGAAGTTTATGCAGCAGCTATCTACCACTCAGAAACATCGGTATATTTTTTTCTAGTGAATACGGCATAGTTTTAAATGTTTAACACGCCGTTACACCACCGTCCGCGTCCCTCTCACCACGTTATAACATACAGCGACACATTAACAAGCAAAATTTTGCGCTGAACTAGCATATCGGCAGAGTTCGAACTCACCCCAGGATTCCAGGCACTGCTGTCACGAAGAAGTCCTTGTCCTGCGGTCCGAGAGTGAACCTCTGGTGGCCTGTTCAGAAGAGTTTTAGAAGATCCTTCGCATCCGTGCGCGGGCGTCGCATTGGGCGAGCGAAGCTGCCGTGGCCGTAGCACACAAGCAGGGTCCACGAAAGCAAGGCACAAGCTTGGTGGTTGTGGTTAGAGGAAGGAAAATACGCCTAAGCACGGTGCCGCATCTAAGCCACATGCTTGCGCAAAAGAACACACTCGCACATGGAATCGCTTAAAAGGTGATAACGTTAAGAGAGTTGCGTATGTTGGGTACGTACAAGGGTTATCAAAGGTTCCCAGGCTGCAAGGCCCGGCCATGGGGCAGGTGCTCGCTGCGATCGGGGCACTGCCATCGCCATCGCAATCGCGCATTCGCGCACGCTGGCGCCGAGTGTCTGCGTAAAAGGGGGGAGGGGGATACTCTCCCTTTTTTGCTCCCCTTGATAAGAAAGCGAGAAGAAAGCGGTACTTCGTCAAGTACCGGTACATAAGTTGCAACTGTTCGAAGCTCTTTCGAAGGTTGTCAAAAATCGACCGTTAGCTAAACCAGCTGCGACTATGAACATCTTGCCCTGAAGCGTTTTTACGGGCGAAGGTGTACTGCCAGAACACACCACCCAGAGGACGGTAAAGCTAAATTGTAAATTCACGATGCACACTTATCCGCCGCCGCGGTGCTCTAGTGGCTAAGGTACTCGGCTGCTGACCCGCAGGTCGCGTGATCGAATCCAGGCTGCCACGGCTGTGTTTTCGATGGAGGCGAAAATAGTGTAGGCTGGTGTGCTCGGATTTTGGTGCACGTTAAAGAACCCCAGGTGGATCGAAATTTCCGGAGCCCTCTACTAAGGCGTCCCTGATAATGATATGGTGGTTTTGGGACGTTAAACCCCACATATCAATCGATGCACGCTTATCGTGAGACCTCGGAGGTTGACGTTTACGTATGTTCTTGCATGTGTCTGTATATGTGCGTGAACATATATACACACGCAATATTGAGACATTTAGGGGATGAGGAATGTCTTTCTGGAGTAATTGAGTGGCATGCCTAAACAAACATCGCTAGTTTTCATTCGAAAAAGATGGATGTCACCTAACCCAGTTATGCCTGGGTGTGCGTAGCGAGAGGTATACGGTTAATCTCATTGTTTAGCTTTGGTTCTATGCACGTTTACGCAAGTCGATGCGTGCGGCTCGCTCTTCCTACGTCTCCTCGGCTTGCTACTTCCTCTTGGTTTCTTTCCGACGACTTGGCTTCGTCGTCGGAACGACGGCTTTCCAACTCGGTTTTCATATCTGCCAACGAATCCAAGCCAGCCGCTCCTTTATAAATACGTTGCCACTTCGGCTTCTCCTCTGTTGTTGCAACATGGTTGCACAGGCTTTGGCATCTGACGTCATGCCAGGTGGTGTGGCGAGCGGCGCTGTCAGCGCAGGTGGTTGTTCAGGCCTGACCACACCAACGCGTTGCAGCGTGTCAACGCGTGGCATTTTGAGAGAGGAGAGAAAGGGTGCGTGGGGCGGGGGGGCATGTACATTTTATCTTCGTTTAGGAACAGGGCGCGGCACCTCGTCAACACGCTGCAACGCGCACGTGTGGTCAGGCCTTTAGGCAACGGCTCAGCTCGCGGTGCGGCCACCAGCCACACCAAAATTCTGAGAATACGGCCAATGTATCTTTCGCTAAAAGACATTTTTTTTTTCTTGTCTCTCTCGCAGGGAGCGCTAGCAGGCATGCTTACTGGGCTATTCGTCGCTTCGTGGCTCGTCATCGGCTCGATCGTTTACCCACGCCCCGTAGATCAGCTACCGTCGTCCACGGCCGGGTGTTCCAGCTTCAACGAGACCCTGACGCTAGGATCGCTCGATCCTCCACCAACTCCCAGGTATAACACGCTGCCGTTTGTGTTGCAGCTGACTATTTCCATCTTTTTTTATTTTATTTACAAACGAGAAGTGTTGCGAATCTCAACACTCCACGCACCAAGTGCAATTACTCCGTCGTCTCCAATGTCTAGCGTATAGTAAAAGTACGTGCTTCCTTGTGAGAGTAGCGCAGAAGAGCCAAGAAAGTACCACCCCTGAGTTCTTGACGCGCACTCCTGTGGTGAGGCCCATATGTAATGTCTTAACAATATATTGAGAATTAATTGGCCCGTCACTGTCGTGTACGCGCCTGCTACCTGCTTCGCCGTCATGTCAATTACCTCGGAAGAGGAAACGGCAAAGAGGAGCGTGAAATCATCTAGGTGTATTACATCAGGAGAAACACAAGATAACTGTACGAGCACATCGTTGATTTGCTTCCTTGAAAAAGAATTAGGTGTGTTCCAACGGTGATAGAAAAAAATCACAGCATATCTACGAAGTGAATAATGAACAGTCGGCGAAGCAAGGGGGGATCATTAAATTCCGTATCTTGTCCACTCCGTCTTGCAAAGACGTAACACGCGTGTACAGTTTCCACAAAGTTGTTTATTGATCACAGTGCGCATATTGTGTTGAGATCTCCATATGGATATTCATATGGATGTCTATATATATATATATATATATTCATATGGATGTCAATATAAGTATCTATATGGATATTCATATCGTGTCATGCCGACGCACGGGGGACATACCTCAACCCTAAGCAGCTTCGCTTATTAAAATTCTGAATATTTTCACCTGGTGATGACGTTGGTGGTCTTGGTATGCTGCGCATGCATTCTGAGGTTTCACGAGGGATTGAATTCACCTCAGTAATGTATATTTATTAGTCCAAGCTTATGCACGCTTGTCTTGTTTTTCTTTTCCTGCATCGTTTTTTTTTTCGGGAGGGGGGGGAGATTTTTAAGCAACATTAACCAACTGGCTCAGATATCAACTTCTCTGCTTTGAATATTTTGATGTTTAGGAAAAAGAAGCTACGAAGGATGACGAAAACGCGAATACACTATAGCCTTGCGCCCAAGTGCTTAACCTCCAACTAATGCGCTAGTCTGCTTCGTTGAATTCTTATGAATGTTGGCAGTGATATCTGTGAACCTACCATTTGCAGATATTCTAAGCATACTTACCTGTCATTAATGTAAAATAATCTTGCTAGTACAATGAACACATCAAACACATTTCAAGTTATTTATGTAAAAATGATAAAAAAGAATAAACATAGATGCTTGCCACGGGTGTAAGTTAAGAAAATGATGGATGAGGGGCGTACTGTATGGAATGCTTTTTTTGGGGGGAGGGGGGGGTAAAAGTGTTTGTGATTGTTTCTGTGAAAAGTAAAACGGTCATCTCTCTAAAATGTTCATTATAACCACCATAGCGCACACAATACCTTTATTGTCAAGCATTCAAATCGCAATCAAGGATACATTGCTCTCAACACCTACATTTGAAATACTGATGTTTCGGTGAAGTTCTTTTGTGACAGCACTGCGATTGCAGAATATTAAAATAAAAAGAGAAACAATATCTACTAATGTGACAAACCCTAAATATATATCCTCTGTGTACTATTTTTTCTCTTTCTCCAGTGGTTTGAACCGCTTCTACCATATCTCCTTCATGTGGACTCACTTTGTCGGATTCGCTACATCGCTAGTAACATCGTTAGTCGTCAGCCTGATATTCGGTCAGTAAACTTTCTCATTATTCATTATTCGTTTATTAGTTCATTTGCTCACTGACTGTATTCTTCCCTTACAGATAGAGAGGGCACCGAAGAGGTTGATGCCAAATACCTGTCTCCAATGGCGAACCGGTTCAGTGGCCGCCATAGAAAAAAGGGAGCAAATATTCAGGTTGTGTGGGAGCCCGAGAAGGTGAGTAGAAGACCGTTACGACACTTATTGCAAGCGCATAAATGGCGGCACCTTGAACTTCTCATTTAGCGTTTGAATTTGACCCTTGGATTAGCTAATGCTTGGTTCTGGGCTGGGGCGCGAATATTTTTACCGTCACAGACGTGTGGAGAGTCAGTCCATCGTGTACGTGCTATGGCTCCTGCTAAATGGTTGAGCCCCTCAAAACAGTGTCCCAAAATCGTTACGCAGCTGGCATCGCTGCTAGGGCGGTATATGCAGCCCGGATCATGATGTCACTATGGGGTGCACACCCATTGGTGCAGGCCTGTGTGCATCCGCCTTTGAGGAGAAAATGTCTCGGACTTTAGTTGTACCCAATACTAAAGAATGTCTGTGACACCTGACCTAGCAGGTGTCCTGTGACGTGTAAATTTTCTTACGTTCATTTTTCTTTACAGGATAAGGCGTCGACTATGGAGCTCGAAAAACTCGTGGGAATTGCTCAAGACAGAAAACCCGTCGAAGCTTCAACTACAAACTGACCTTCGCAACTGTCCCCAAGCGCTGCGAAAGCTTACGTCCACGCCACTCGTTTCGATGCAGCTAATGCTGTGAACTAGGTCACCTTTTGTACATATCGAACATGTATATAAACGAACATAAATGAAATGCGTTGTAGATTTCAAAGTGTTGTATCGTGAATTTTGCAAGCGTCAGTATTCGACAGTCGCCAGCGTTCATGCGGGCTTGTTCTCATATCGCGCGGAATGTATGGTTGGATTGTATTAGACAATGTTATTATTCACATGAAGCGTGAGACAGCGGAAATCTGCACTGTCTGCGCCAAAGGCAGGCATAATTTGTTGGTTGTTGTGCCTTGCTGCGTGCAAATGATTCTGCCCATAGGCAAATGTCAGCTATTCACTGTCATAACAGCAGGACTGACTGTCTTCATTCTATCTGAATTCAACATGGCACTTCACATGCATGGTAATGTGTATGTGATTCACTTCCCTTTTGCTATTTCTCCGCTCATGGACCCGACTTGAAGTGAGGCTTTTGTATCACCTTCCTCGACACCTTGAGACTATCTAATCGACTTCACGCACCGCCGCGGTGGTCTAGTGGCTAAGGTACTCGGCTGCTGACCCGCAGGTCGCGGGTTCGAATCCCGGCTGCGGCGGCTGCATTTCCGATGGAGGCGGAAATGTTGTAGGCCCGTTGCTCAGGATTTGGGCTCACGTTAAAGAACCCCAGGTGGTCGAAATTTTCGGAGCCCTCCACTACGGCGTCTCTCATAACCATAAGGTGCTTTTGAAACGTTAAACCCCACATATCAATCAATCAATCTGATCGGCTTAACTTGACGCAGCGTCCAGCCAATAAATACATGTGCCGGCTTAGTTTGACCGGTAAGCCATACTCTGACAAGTGTGGTGCTTCAGAATAGACAGAAAGTACTTGTCTCCAAAGCAGAATATGCTCGATTTCACAAGCACCGATAGATCTCGGTATAGGACATTGCGTTGACAAAGGTACCGAGCTAGAAATTGTTGAAAAAATTCACCAAGAAACCAAAAAAGTAGATAAATTATTTTTTCAGACATTTTCAGACATAACTACGTACAACATACATGAAAGAAGAGAAAAGTGTTTCCGAGTTGATTACAATAATTTAGGGCAAACGTGGTTTGAGCAAAGCGTCAAGTTATGTGCGCCTCTCAAAGAGGAGCGGGCAAGGCATCGGAGCGAAAATTCACGGGTGTGCGAAAATTCAAAAATTTTGAATGGGGAAATAAACAGCGCACAATACAACAACCAAATATTTCTTTTTCGGGTGTTTTTTCAATAGGCATCACTCAGGAGAAGGCCCTAGTAGAAGAGCACGTTGGAAAAGCAACGATCACTTTCGTTGTTTTAATTAGTGAATTGTCAAAGTGCCTCAAGGTGCATCCAAGATGCATGCAGTTCAGGCGACCCCAAGGTCAAGATGTAAAATGGGAGTAAGCTCTGCTCATCACCTGGGGGAGGAATTATTGCTTTAAACTCCTGTGTCACTGAAGCCAATGTCTTCAATCCTGTATCATTTGCATGAAATTCCTCTCTTTAATTCGTGAAATGTTTGCCTTTCACGTCTTAGCTGGTGAGAAAGATGATGAGAAAGCTTAAAGTGGGCTTACAATAAACCACGCATTTAACAACAAAAACAAAAAACGTAATCTGCCCTACCAGAACCTTAAACAAGCATAGGAGCGGCTCTTCCTCGAAAATCATGAAAGGGCAGAAGTGTGAAGCTATGGCGGTAAATGGCCATGACTCCTGCGGTACATACATTAATTGGTCTATATCGGCCATTAGCACAACATCATCCTTTGCCGCTGAATATGATGCTATCGTTACGATTTCTGAACCACCTCACTTGGCAAGCTCTATTCGTGGCATATTTCCCTGTGTGTGTGTGTGTGTGTGTGTGCGTGCGTGCGTGTGCGTGTGTGTGTGTGTGTGTGTGTGTGTGTGTGTGTGTGTGTGTGTGTGTGTGTGTGTGTGTGTGTGTGTGTGTGTGTGTGTGTGTGTGTGTGTGTGTGTGTTGTGACGTTTAGTCGCAAATTCAGGGGAATCAAAGTATACAAAAAATCACGTGTTTTGTCGGTGGCATTTCATTGGTTTTTCTTCCACTCAGTTCCCTTCAATTTTCTACAAAATCTACAGTTCAAAAACACAATGTTCGCTATGCTTTCCTAGGATGAAGTCAGTGTTGATACTATGTATATCTAGAAGAATTATTGCTCAACACTAATATTTCAGTAAATGTCAATACATAACAGCTAGAGTTAGATAAGATAGCTAATTTAGGAGCTAAACTTTTGATAAAGATACCAGAATAGCTACTCGTAGCTTAATCAACTTTTCAGCAGCTAGCAGAGTTCGAAGTAACCAGATATAGCTCCGAAATCGCTAAATTGACAACACTGCTCGCGTGTTCCTTCTAGCAATTACCCGTATTATATTATCTTTTTGTTATTTCTTGCTGTCCTCCTCCTAGGGCCTTTTTGTTCTCAATGTGCTTCCCTGTACGGTGTACAGAACCTTTATACGCCGGCAGAATAGCTCTTCCTAAAAAGGTTTCTCTCTCCTCGCTTTACTTCGTTACTGGGCGATTTTGCATGCCATAGTTTTTGGTTTCGTCGTAGCCTCGACATTTCATGGTGACTAGTCATATTCTTGTCAAACATGAGCACATGCCCTGAGAAAAAACTAAGAAAAAAAAAGAGTTACATACAGTGTACAGTAACCCCATTGTTGCTTACACATTCTACGGTGGCAGTTACCGGGACACGTAGTCTCTCGATGTAGTCACTTCTGCGGCTGTCATTTAACTTGGCTTCGCCGCAAGACACCAGCGACAGCATTGCTCACATGTATGACTTCAGTGTCGCTTGAGATACCACGGAAAAAACGTTCATGTATGCACGCATGTGTGGGGCAGAAACACAGAATGCATTTATTCGTGCTAAGATAAGGTACATCATCAAGGCCTCTAACTAGAGCAGCTTGGGTACACACAAATGGGGCATTACTTTCACACAACGGTGTCACAGTTCGTCTTCTCTTTTATGAGTCTTGTAAGTACATGTCCATATCTATATATAAACATTACACAGTGCACATTACACAATGTACACAACACACTGTACAATTACACATTACACGATGTATATATACACATGACAGTGTTCTCTACGCTGTACTCGCCCCAAACACAGATTGAACTGCAGCAATTCAGTCCGAACAGCGACTACTTCCATGCAGAACCTCAAAATGCAAGTCTCACGGAGAAAAACTGTAAGAGACTAGAATGAGTGAAAAGAAAGAAATGGCCGCGCAGCTGTGGCTTCAGCAACACCTTGTGATGTTTTTGAAAACAAAAAGATGTAAAAAGAAGAAACCTCCGAAGTGTATCAAGATCAAACTGTTATTGCACGTGCACGAAAATTCTTGCATAACCTCCTAACAATGATCATAGACAGAAGGCTTGTTGTTGGATCATGCCACCAATGTCGCATGCATCCAGCTACATAAATCAAAAGGAGAAAATGCTTATCTAAAAGGCGAGAATAATTCATGATGGTAATGTGGTTCCCCCATTCTAGAAATCCATCGCAAGTATTACAACAGAACGGCATTTATGGGAGTGACGCACATAGGTATTACTATGGTTAGTGACAGGACGGGGGCTAGATTTGTGAATGAATTCCACTCAATGATGTTAGAAGAAAAGAAAAAGGCAATTACATATACACAGACTTACAGGCACATAATGCGTAATGTGCACATAATGCGTAATGCCAAAGAAATCTCTGGCAGGTATGCCAGAGATTTCTCATTGCAATGTTTCTCAAGCTGTTTGGAAAAATTTGGAGCGCGCCTTGAAGATGGAGAGCTGAAATTTTTAAGCGGGTGCACGTAACTTTCTTCAAACAATTTTTTACGTAGTTTAACTTCTGTATATAAGTTTACTTTACCAGTCGTACATATCAATGATTACAACAATTGAAAAATTCATTCTACGAGGCACGTTCGTCCGAAAGATGCAGTGTTAATGTTTGACAAGAGCAGAGTAGGTTATTTTGAAGATCTTGAATCTTTCGAAAGTGTCAAATACAGCAGCCTCACTGTTTTGTATGCGCACTCGCCTGTACCAAGCGCCACAAGTGTCGAACCATTGGTCTTGTTACGAAGAAGCCATCGGGTAAAGAAGTAAAGTTTTAAGGGTCACTAAACCATCTTAAATATCAAAGTTCAGTTGTGGCGCTATTGTTTGCCGTAGTCCGAATCGTAAACAACCAGTTCAGCTCCGTTCCACAGGCCGAATTCCCCAAAAGTCGGTGGGTCGGGGTCCTCGCGCGTGGGCTGACAGGGCACCCGTCGCTCCGTGTCTTTTATGAAGATGTTGAAGTTGGTGGGTGCGTCTTGTTGAATCAGAACATAGTAGTGTAGATACTGCAACGATTGAGCACCGGGAGAAAGAAAAAGAAAAGAACGAAAGTTAAGGCAATGTGAAGGTAACGCTGCTGTGAAAGTTGTAGCTGTCTTTCAAATAAAATAGACATCTTGTATAACGCTAGTAGTACTGCACCACACAGCACAAATCTAGCTAGACCAATTGAACAGGCTAGCATTAGTTACATTAGAGGTTAAAATTAATAGCTGAATCATTGACAGCAATTCGGTATCACATTATTACAGATATACAAAATTCTAACGGTCCTTCAAGCAGGCACCGAACAGAACTCGAAGGTGGAAGCCATGTTCTTCTATTTCTTCTGACCCCCTCCCTTCTCCCTTTCCTCTCAAATAAAGCTTCCTGCACTTAGGGGTACTAACACAAAAATTTCCAGCTCCTGTTTTTTTCTCTTCTTTTGCATCAAATGAAAGACTATATCCTAAAGAATTTAAATCAAGAACTGTGAAGCATGAGTGCACTCTGAAAAAGTTATTAGTGTGTTTTTTAAAGCTAGCTTTGGTTCCTTGACGTCATTAGTTCGCATTATGAACTTCTTGTCGCATGCTCATACAAGATGTAGTAACGTGTCCAGCGCCCTTTGAAACCGTGGCTCCGTTGGTGGTGCACGATGGGCCATTTTGACTGTTTTGATATGACGCACAAGCAGACATTTTGGAATTCTCGGTGCCTGACTTCGTCACAACTTGCGAGACTGCTGCATGAAGTGGCCAAAATTAGCACTGTGGCCTGGCATCAGGCTAGTGTCGACGCTGACAGGTGCGCTATGGGAAAATTGACTTTATCATCAAACTAAAATACTTCATCGGCGTCTGCCTCAGAGCTGTCTCTGTATACAGGAAATTTGTATGGCCGTGTGAAAACACCTTCGAAAAATGGTATCAGTACCCCTCTAACATGGTTTTGGATAGCCTTGGCGACCAGCCTCCCTTTAACCAATCAAGTGACGATGCGGTGGGGTCATCATACCACACCATGCTGTGACGTCACAATGACGCTACCAATTTTAATCATCGTGATGTTATAATGATTTCAAATTGTACCGTGATAAGACAGATGCTTGGGGCTAGTTGGTGATTGGGAATCAACATATTTGAACAGCGCAAGACTATGAGTAGTTATGACGTAACTACACAAGAAGAGACAAGGACAGAAAGAGTGCCCGTACTGATTCTCTTTTTCTTGTATCACGTTCTAGTGACGCCGCGTCAACTGTCACTTTTCTTGTTTGATGAGCTATCTAAGGTTCTCTGCCTTAGACAGTAAATATTCATGTTGAGCCAAGGAAACTGAAACAGCGATGTGAACGTAGCGTGACATGACAAAAAAAAGCTGGAAAGTACCACAGAAGTGCGTGTGGGAATAAGTCCCTTTAAACGCGCTGTGCACAAAAAAATTAACATAGAGCTACCATAGACTCCTTTTAAACGAAACCTCAAGGTCCCAGAAAAATTTGTTTCCTTTAAGAGGAGTTTCGTTTATTGAGAGATAAATGGGGGTGCAATGTTCAAGTAGGAAAACTAATATAATAGGGGAAGTTGAAGCAGCAATTTCATTTAAAAGAGTTTCGTTTTATGGCAGTCTACTGTATCTAATGTCAAGAACATGCAATTATAGCCTCAAAAATGAGATCTTGGTTCGCGTCAGATGCCTTTTGCAGGCGGAACTATGAAAGACTGGGAAGCATTGGGGCGTGATTTTTTTGTTAACTGCAATTCTATGAACCAAGCAGTATACAAGAGTAGTAATTGAATGTATATCTTACACGGACTGCTTTTGCTGAAAGAAAAAAACAGAATGGTTAATGAAATTCATGCTAGATTAGTAGGTGAGACGAGTTGGTGCACACATTAGTCGAATTCAAATCATATACTTCTTGCATGTTTGTGCTATTAGCAAAGCATAAGTGACGAACAAGGCAATAAAACGAGTTCTTTATGTTAAAACTATGCAATTTTCTTTAGGCACTGCGGAAAAAAAATGCGTATTCTGCTCCAACCACCACGTTTGCAAAAACAACACACACCTTGAGCGAGTGGCTTAGCAGGAAGCTTCGCTGCAAAAGTCTTCCCGAGGGTTCTGGCAGCTGGATGGAGAGACTTATGCTCCAAGGGTCCAAAATGTGTGGCTCTTCAGGTATCTGGTCCAGCAGCGCACTCTTCATGGGCACTAGGCTCTACGAGGAAATAAGAACAGCTAAATGTAACAAATGGGTTTGCTTCTTTTGCACTGCATGCGTCACGCAGGTTGTCCACCTTATGCACCAATTCACCTTACAGAAACCCTGCAACACTTTTTGAATATGGTCAGAAAATGCTTCCGACTGGTTATAGACTGTCTTAGCAACTACATATGAATGCTGTATTATGGGCTGTTAATCCAATGCTTTCTTATTTATGCATGTTGGGATGTCAACTGATACGTAATGCAATGAAATATTGTATGCACCAACCCAACTCCTTGCATGCGTAGGCTTCAATCGTAACATTTTCTGTTGAGTTATAAAAATGCAAAACACAAAGGTTAACCGCCCTATATGGCGGCGCTGAAACTTCTCCCTTAAACAGTCAATCGTTGAGGCTCCCACAAACATGTTTGCTAAACAGTAAGTTCAAGGATGTGGCAAAAGGTTAGACACGAGCATAAAGAAGAAGAGACAGAAAGAATGCCAACTGAAAGCTGTGAGTTGGCGTTTTTTATGCCTCTTCTCAATTCTAACCTTGCACCACGTCTTTCAAGTAACAATACTCCAACTCACCCAACTTAACATACTAAAGAGCTAAGCAGTATAGATGTAGTTTATGTTGTAATAGCGGTATGCACCGTCGACATACTGAGGCACTTGTAGCGACGTCACGACGCGTGGTGTTCACCCAGCCCAAAGCTCGCCGCCATACTCGAAGATCATGTGAGAACTGGTGAAGCAGCTGCAAATCTGTCTCACAGCAGAGCGCATCGGGAAGCCTCCCGCTTGAACACATGGGGAGCTCCCCGACCCACTGTACTCAAAGGCAGCTTTGCAGTTGCCGTGCTAGTTATCAGAGTTGTCAGGGCGGTGCCGAGTTTTTTATCTGCAAACAGACAAACAGGTTTGTTTCTTTGCTTAATTTATTTCCCCACTTTTTTAAAGGTGCCCTGACAGCGAAAGATGAATGAATATCTGGGGTTTAACGTCCCAAAACTACAATGTGATTATGAGAGACGCCGTAGTGAAGGGCTCCTTAAATGTAGACTCCCTGGGGTTCTTTAACGTGCACCCAAGTCTGAGCACCAAACCTACAGCATTTCCGACTCCATCAAAAATGCAGCCGAGTACCTAAGCCACTAGACCACCACGGCGGTGCCTGACAGCGAAAGTTTGGTTTGCGAGTTTTTTGTACATTAATTTACAGCTTTGGGTCTGGTAATGGCAAAATTATATCGTAAATGATCTAACAGAACAATTTTGCGCCAGTTCGAAACGCTCGCCTAAATGATAATGATGATGGTGATTTGAGGCTGATCCCTTTGTATCGGGCGAGCCAGATTATTCTGCCCTAGTCAGAGAAAAAAATACTTAAAAGGTAAACAAACGAAAACACTCCACAGGCGTACACACCCTGTATCAGTTCGTGTATAGGTAGTCTGCACGCCTTCAATTTTCAATACCACAAGAAACCAGCGCCCCACAGCGGAGCAAAGCCTGAAACTACGTGCGCTCAAGGATCGATGACGCTGAAACACGCTGTTTTCAAATAGCTTTCGAACAGCGACTGACGTTTGCCTGCTCTGAGGGTTTGGCCAAGAATTCAATAGTTGTGATTGATTTTATTTATTCTTTTTTTTCCGTAAGCGTTTCTATAGTGTCCTCATTGATTAGCGAGTGTATTTTCAGATAGTACGACCAGGCAGATGCCGTTTTCCTCACCTGGACCAGGGGCTTTTCCTCTGGTCTGCTTCTCTTCCTTCGCAGGAATTACCAGTGGACCTTGTTTTTACGCAATGGCATCTCATCCGTTCCTGTGGCATTGGTCCCAAGCAACGATGGTATCATACGGATGAAGAATCCAAAATGATTCAGACGGAGTTGAGAGCCCTACAACTCACTACCAAAGCATCACAGAGGTCAGGCAGTTCGGCAAGGGTGGCATTCTTTGCTTCTCGTCTGACCAGCTCTGTGTTCGAGACCTACTAAAATGCTCGGCATTCGCTACCAACCCGGTGAGCGCATTCATTCCACCTCACCTAGCTTGCGTCAAAGGCCTCGTTCGGGGTGTCGATGTCAACTTGACCCCAACTGAGATATTAGATATGTTCTCAGAAGCAGGTGTGATAGCTATCTATAGATGTAGTCGAGTTGTGGACAAGAACAAGGTCCCAACGGAGTCCGTGATTGCTACATTTGCCGGGTCGAATCGCCCAACCGAAATCAAAGCGTGGCCTTTAATATACAGAGTGGAGCCACTATCACCTCGTCCCCTACAGTGTATTAAGTGTTGGCGTTATGGGCACACAGTGAAAGGGTGCAGGTCAGTACCTAGATGCAGAATTTGTGGTGAGACGCACAATTCAAACGACTGCAAAAGTAATGAAGAAAAGTGCTGTCTTTGCCATGAAGCACACTGCGCTGATAACCCAAACTGCTCAGCCAAGGCACGTGAAATCCAAATACTTGAAATTGTTGACAGAAGGCGATGCTCCCGAAAGGATGCCATTACTGAAATCCAAGCCCGAACTCAAGGATATGCCGGAGCAGCTGCCCGCCATAACATAGCAATGGAAGCATCCTTTTCCCTATCCATTGCGGATATGATCGAGAAGGCTGTGGATAAGGCTATGCACCCTATGTGAGTCGCTGTCGCACATTGTGAATAACCAAATCGCACAAGTCTATGGAGCGCATATAGATATAAGTACGGCTGTAAAAAATGCTGAGTCTGCACACCCGGCAAGTGAGGCAGAATCTGAGATAACTCCACCAAATGCACAGTCTACAGAGCCCTCTGGAGAAGGCGTTCAGAGGCAAAGCGAGGGTGCACAGGAAACTTCTCAGGACACACAAGATATGGACATAGATCTCAAATGCCTAAAGCGTTCTAGATCCCCTGCATCGAAAAAACCTAGCTCGCCGAAACATGTAAAAAGCAAGAAATACCAGAAAGACAACCTTTCAAAAACCGATTTTCTAAAAGAAAGTATTTTAGAAAAGGTGATTGCCGAAACCATTTTAACGAAATCATAGGGTCTCTTAAAATTATACATTGGAATTGCCGATCTCTTCACTCAGCCATAACAGATCTGTTATACCTGTCTTCCAAATTCGATCCGGCTATCATTGCATTACAAGAAACTTGGCTATCCACACATCATGTATTTCACCTACCCAACTTCCAAACCTTTCGTCTAGACCGTCCATCCAAAGGTGGAGGTTTAGCTTTCTTTATAAACAATAAAATTAGTGTAAAAGTCAAAAACTCATACAAATGTATGTCTTCTGAATGCGAAATTTTCGCGTTAGATATTACTTTGCCAGGATACTTGCCTTTCTCGCTAATAAACGTCTACTTTCCTGTAGGCGTTCAAGACACGAGACTGTTAGATATGGCTGCTAATTCAGGCTGTAAAGAAAAAATTGTAGTTGGTGACTTCAACTCTCACCATACCTGCTGGGGTTTTAGAACTGATCAGTGTGGACAACGGTTGTGGGACTGGTCGGTAGACACAACTTATTGTGCCTTAACGCTAGAACTCCCACATTTATTCGAGGTCATTCACGCTCCGCCTTAGATTAGCTTTGTAAGCTCGGCCATTGCTAGTACATCCGTGGACGGCCCTTGATTGCGCCTCCAACAGTGACCACTTTCCAATAATGTTCGAGATCGCTTGCTCCCGTTCAACCATCATGCTTCCATGCCCGAACCTATATAAATTATGCAAAATTTCAACACGACCTAAAAACTGCTTTAGACGCTCCTTCTCAGGATGGAGATGACACTAAAGCTATGAAAATAAGCGCAGTAATTAAAAGGGCATACAAAAACGCTGAATTTACTGTTAAATCGGCGAAGAGAATACCCTATAGCCCCTGGTGGAATTCCAACTGTTCAAGAGATCACAGACGAAGACAGGCAGCTTGGAAGAAGCTAATACATAATCAGTCCCCTAAGAACTGGGCTGATTATAAATTTCTTGCCGCTGTATTTAAACACACGGTGGCCCAAGCTAAAGAAGATTATGATAAAAGACATTTTGATTTTCTCTCGAAATCCAAAAATAAGAAAGCTTTATTTCAATATATGCGATCTCGCAAAATCCTGCCGTCTACATTAAATACTAATTATGAAAAACTATCATTGGAAGAAACGAAGAACTCTTTAGAGTCAATTGGCAGAGGTCTAGAAATTAGATTTTCTTCGATTATGGCTTTCAACTGGCAAAAGTCTAGCATAAGCACTGACTTCGAAAACGTAACGCTGTCTGAAGCATCAAAAGTCATTCGAGATCTACCGTCGTCAGCTCCTGGTCCAGACGGAATCACAGTTCCTATGATTAAAATTTTATTCAAGCTATCCCCCGGCGACGTCATTAATCTCATAAACTACTCTTTAAAGAATGCCTGGATACCGTATGACTGGAAAATATCTAAGGTAATCCCATTAATAAAAAAGCAAGGAGTAGGTTTCAACATAGAAAATATCAGACCCATCTCGCTAACTTCGAACATGGTGAAACTCATAGAGAGGGTTCTAAAGGGCCGAATAAACTCCTGGATGACGAATAAGGTCATATTAAAGCCAAACCAAATTGGTTTTCGTTGTGAATGCTCAATTTGGTGCGCCCATGCGGATTTAGAGAGTCGAATACAGCTTGCTCGTAAAAGGAAACAGTACGCCGCATTAGTAACTCTCGACATAGCTAAAGCGTACGACAGTGTCGAGCACTCTATTCTACTGACCACCTTGCAGAGTCTAAAGTTTCCTCAGTATATTACTGAGTGGATAGCAGAATTCCTAAAATCAAGGGAATTGTATTGCGTGAAGGATGGCTGTTGTTCGCATAAATTCAAACAAAAACGTGGTGTTCCACAAGGGTCCGTCCAATCTCCAGCATTATTCAATATACTGATGAGCTCTATTCCAATTGTTCAGGATGTCACTGTCTACATTTATGCAGATGATATCGCGTTCTTCGCTGCAGAGAGTGACATTTACTCACTACATCAAAAACTGCAAAGATATATTAATACACTGGAAATTTGGTTGCAATCCATTTCATTGTCATTGAGAGAGAGAGTAAAACTTTATTGAAGGGGAAAGGGAGAGGGGCGTTTTAGAGCCTTTATGGTTGGGGCCCTACGTCCAGGGCTCCACTGGCCTTAGCCGCCCGCCGGACTTGATCCAGTAGTGCGAGCTGCACTCCTGGGTCCGAGCTAGCGAGGTGTGCCTCCCACTGCTCCATACTAGGTGTTAAAGGTTCGCCGAGAAAATTGGTTATGTCGCTTGGTTTACGATCGCACCCCCACGATATGTGGTAGAGAGTCGGTCTTCCGCCGCACCACGGACATACAGCCGGGTAAGAGTTGGATGTATCGCGTGTAACTTCAGTAGGTGCGGAAATACATCCGTTTGAATTTTTCTAAGGTCAGTGGCCTCTTCCCCATTAAGGGATCTGTGAGGTGTTCCACATTTTTGACGCGTGAAGCGCTGGTGAGCTAGAATCTCCCTAGGTAAAATTGGCATGGTCAATGAAAGAGATGGATTCTCCGCTCGGTTACAAAAACGCACGAGCTAG